GATGAGATATTGATACAAGACAGTAAAATTTCATATAATCGGTTACATTACTATGCACATGTGGTCTAACATTATGAAAAAGAAGTTTTAATACAATCAGTATCGCACGAAGATATTTAGCTGTTTGATTTTGGGCAATCAAAGGTCGTAAACATTAGTTGATATAATAGGGATGATCAATGATGTAACCATGTTCGACACGACGGATTAGCACAGACCTGGTCGATTTGGACAAAAATCTAAGAAAAATCAGTTTTTGTACCAGCGAGTTCTGGGCAAAAGTATTTTTTCACAAAATTTCACTAACGTAGAAAAGAGAACCTGGACTTATCGAATACGATAAATAAATAGAATGGAACACGCTCTGTTTATTGGTAAAGAAAGCAATTACCTTCGATCTTTTTCTCGCGAAATAAAGCATCTGCTTCGCTACTTTTGGATTGCTCCAAGTATTTCGTAGCGGTTTGTTTAGAAACATGACTAAATCAAGTAATTTCTTTTTAAAACTTAATGATTGTAGAAACTAATTTTCTGATTAAATGAGAACTTTTCAAATTACAGCTTTTTTGCATGTGACTTTGTAGGAATTAAAGTTATAAAAATAAGAAAGCACTTATAGTAAATGCAATTTTAGCTGTGTTTTAAATATACGATACATTTCTTACACAAATCGTCATTCTTTCTTTTCAACACATTGTGAACGCCCTACAATGAGACATTTTCACCAAACATACTCACTTCTTGTTGGATTATTGTTTCTGCTACAATCAAGTATGCAAATTCAGTCGGTATATGATATCAGTAATATGGGTACAGAGTTTATACCTATGGACAATTCTTTTCCTCCTTTGCTGACATTTCAGGCAAAAAGCTTCATAAGATGTGGCCTTCAATGTAATATACGCATAGATTGTCGAGTATTCGACTTTGATGTTGATTCACAGCAATGTCGTCTGTGGGGCGCTGATTTAACGGCTGGTACTATTAGTCTATCGTCTTCAAAACCTCGATCATCTGTTGGTAGTGTTAAATTATCACCCAATATTTATGCTAATAGTCACAACCAGTCATGTGATAAATGTTTTCAAAGTCGATACGAAATATGTAATATGAACAGTAGTACTTGCCAATGTCCTTCGAACACATTCTGGAATGGTTTAGTATGTCAATCACAACTTTTTCAAAATCAAATTTGTGCACAGGCAGATGCATGTCGATCTGATCTTAATCTTACTTGCCAACCAAATTGTGATTTCACATATCGATGTTCAAGCCGTAAGTGAATTTTATTTAACTTGTATCCGAGTATTTCTTCTTTACTATCAGTATAATATTTTCTTTTTCATTATTGTAGTTCCTGCCATAGGTATTGGCCAAACAGTGGCCGGTTATTGTAATAATACTAGTGGTAATGCCACCATATTGAATGGACCTTGGGGACTGTACGTTTCTCCAGTGGATGGAACTCTGTACGTTGCCGATGAATATAGTCGAAGTTTTTTAGCTTTTTCACCATTTTCGCGCAAAGAACGTATACTATTGTCCAGCGGTTTAAGTCAACCTATGGATATATTTGTTGACAACTCGAATACCATTTATATGACCGATCGACAGCTTAACGGTGGTACTCTGCTTGTTCAACAAAAAGGGACTATCGTTAAAAGCTTTCCAGCCCCTGGATATTCGACAAGTTCTTGTCTACTCAACGGGCTCTATCAAGCGTACGGCGTAGCAGTCGATCGTTCTGGTAATATATTTGTAGCATCGTGGACGTGTTCTGTAGTGGTAAAATTGGCACCGAATGCTACGAATGTAACGGTCGTTGCGGGGAAAATGGGAACTTTAGGCTCTACGAATAATGAACTCTATAATCCTCGCTTTGTGCATTTAGACGAAGATCGAGGTGTATTTTATGTCAGTGATTCCCGCAACCATCGAATTCAGAAGTTCATCATCGGTGGTAATGGAACAGGAACGACAGTAGCAGGCGGTAATGGTGCAGGAACAGGTTTGAACCAGTTGTATAGCCCTGCAGGACTTTGTATCACTCGTGACGGTCAAACTCTCTACATTGCTGACCGTGACAATAATCGTGTCATGAAATGGGCGATCGGTGCCAATGTAGGGTCATTTGTAGCTGGCGATGTAAATGGAGCGACAGGTTCTAGTGATCGGCTTTTCAATGGTCTGGGTGATGTGGCTCTCGATCCCAGCGAAACTTATCTATACGTTGCAGATGAGGAAAATCATCGAATTCAGCGATTCCGTCTTCAATAATTGCTTACAAAATTGGTGACATCACATGCAATAAAACTAATTACAAGTAACGCTCGTTGAGAACGACTCGCTTTGCCTTCGATTGAATGCTTTTCAAAATAAACGTCACATAATGGAATATTCTTTCAAAACGCTTTTTATATTGAGAAATTGAAGATAATATTTGCATAAAAAATAAGGCTAGTTTACAACTGACAATCTGAATTACAAGAGACGAAAATAAGTTTGATAATGACGAATGGAAAGCTCCTTCACCTTTGATTACACATAGAAATAAAACAACACTTGTCGAAGCAGACTCGTTTAGTCCTTCACAGATTTTCTTGTCACTCCACGGTTTTTATAAAAACTTTTCAAAAGATGAATCAAAACATTCATCTCGCAGTCGGCTGTCAGCGTCTCTTCGGTTCGCCACTCCCGACAGCTCGATATAGCGCATTTCATATACATTCGATTTAAAAGGTATGCTTCTTTCTCACCGGGCACATCGTAAACAATCGAGCTACTTCAATGCCATCATATATAATGAAAACTTTCAGTTGGAAACAAGCTTTCATTTACTAGGGATTATAAGAGAAAACTCGTGCTGGTTCTCATCTATAGACTCATACCAAAAATCGTCCAAGATATTCGATGACTGATTTGTCGATTCATTCCTCATAGATATCCAATTTGTCAGCTTATGTGTTCGATCACTTTTAGAGTCCACTATAGTTTTTCCCTTTATCTAAAATCAATTTGAAGTTTTGCAATACGAAAGCACTTTCATTCATACCTTCGCATTCATTATAGACACTAATTCCACACCTAACGCCGTCAACATTATCCTACATGTCACCATGATTTACTTGAGAATACCCACGACGAGTCTATCACTTTTGAAAACATCGACAACAAAAGGCGTGCGTAATTGGAAGAAAAAAATTTTCAAATTATAAATTTGTTCATCTGTGCCTTATATGAACGTCTAATGCGGCAACGGGGTGTGTTAATGCCACGCGTATCGGAAAGAACTGGAATAAATCGAGTATTTTCCTATCGACTAGTTTAATTGATTGAGAAATTCATTTTGTGTGAATCTGATCAATCGAGAATAATCATAGCAGAATGATATATTGGATGGCACTGAATCCGTGCGATAAAGATCCAAACATAATGAGCATCAGTGAAGTTGGTATAGTAAGATGTATTGAATGCAATTGAACTTTAGTAATTGTTTGAGCGTTGTCAAAAACTTCATATTTATGAGATAATGTATCTCCGGCATCATCAGAAGAGTTGGAAATGGTTCCATACATTAGCCTAAAGTTCTATTGTGGATGGAAAACAATGAGGCGAATATGTCTTACCGTCACGTAAATATGGTGCGTTATCTGTGAAGGAAGAGTTTGCCGAAAATTCCCTTTGCGAATCGTAAATGAGAATGATAAATTAATCATTCTTCACGTCTATGTGAATGCAGAATTTACACGATATTTTCTTTATCTGTGAACTATTTTCGTATGTCGTCGAAGTAAAAGGCGACTATTCTTGAACAACCAGTCTCTTCATCATTTCGATTGATACGTCACAATGTTAAGTAGTACGATGATAAGCGAACTATTCGCTCCTGTCGTCACTGTTTATTTCCTAACAGACGATTAGCACAAATATGCTTTCAAAGTAATCGTAGCATCCACCTATGTCATACCATCCTATTGTCGAATAAAACTATTTCGTTTCATTTTTCCAGAAACTTACACAAGGAACTATAATGCATTCACGTAAATTTCACCTTCTAAATCTCACTTGAAGAAATATCTTCGAGCATATCGACAGCAAAGCATGATGAAGTTTGAAGAATCTGAAATACTTGTCTACAGTCAGAATTCATCTTGAATATCAATAGTCTTTTCTCGAACAGATCTCGCTGTTCTCGATATTATACTATGTCATTATTGTACGCAACTCAACCAATAAAAGTCTATCTTTGGATCATCTCTTCTTGGTATGGGTCTTACTGTTAATAACATCGATACTTTCATTTTTTTTTCTTCTTCAGTTGTCTCTTATCGACGAACTCCTTCGTCTTTCTGTTTATTAATTGCTGTTATAGTTAATAATATCACTATTCTAAATAGCCTGATGATTCGTATTGTCAATGTAGTTTATGGACTTGATTTAATATTCAGTTCACGAATCTGGTGTCAAATACAATATTATCTCTATCTCACGCTCTACGCTCCCGATCTTCTGCTTGGAATACCAGTGATTATTCTGTTTACATCTGGGTATTTAACCCACAAAAACATTCACCAAATACGATTTCTACGTAAAACACGTGTCGATCGTCAGTTAACTAAAATGATTTCCTTCCAGTTGATTCTCCTTATTATAAGCATTGTCCCCATCGGGATCTTTAGTCTATATCTCAGTCACCAATAGTTTCCCTAAAAGCTTCGACACTGAGCAAAGAATATTTTCTCACTCATATCTCATACATACTTTGCAGTAAATCTGTTCATTTTTGTGTGAAACGAGGTGCATGCATTGTTTCTTGCTCTTTTATCTAGGGAAGCGTTTACATATATTTTCTCGCGTCCAATCGCTATTAACGGATAATTTTACGAAAAATATCCTGTCTTTATAGTCGACAAAATTAAATCAATCCCATTTTAAGCCGTGCACGAGTACAACTTAGCGATGAAGTTCTCAACTAGGTTCATATTTATTCAAAATCAATTCTACAACCATAAATACAATTTTCCATTAAAAACTTTAAGAACATAATCACGAAGAAGCTTTTTTGATTTAATCAAACTTTGTAATGTTCTCACTAAGTCATTACGTTGTTTGGAAATACATAAAGCAGACAAATGGCGCGCATTTGTAAGTAAATATTGAGCTATAGGTTTCAAATCTGGAAAAAATAAATTAATCGTAAGATCTTCCATACGAGGAAAAGCGGCAATGACCAATCGCATTTTTTCTAATGTAATCTCTTTACTGATGGTTATCTTTCGTACTGAATTGGCTTTTGATACCGACTGAAAGACTTCATTTCGTTGAATTGAACTTGCATCAGCTCGATAAAGAACTATAGAATCGAGTGTCAACGTCTGGACATTCGTTGTAAACCGAAAAAGTTCGATCAATTGATGAAAAGCAAAATGATGACATTGGATCGATAAGTTCGTCAGTTGTTGCAGTGGAAAAGCGCGATTTAAGCCATTTACAATCGGTAGCCGTGGTACTTCAAAAGTTTCGCACAGTGTTAGCTTAGTGGCATATGGAAATTGACCTATAGGTTTGTCGAATATCGATGTCCGATGGACACAAATATGATGAGTAGGATCTGCATTCAAATCAAAACGAGTTGACCAGATATTTTCGGTTAGTTCATCATGTAGTACATAGTTTTTCCTTCTAAAAATAAACACTAGATGAGAATCATATTGGAAAAATTCGACTTTACTGGTAGGGATTTCGTGAGTAGAAGATGACAGCGTTGGACCATGTCTTTTTATGATAATGCCGATCGAAGAACCATTGTCGATCGGTCCAAAACTTGGCATTAAACTTATTGGTTAGAGTTTCAAATGTTTGATACTCAACATTGTAATCAATGCCACGGTATGAATATCGGAAATCAAAAACACGTAAGTTCGGCATAGAACTTGTGATTAACCGTTGCCATCGAGTTGCATTGATAAATTCTCGATCGTCGAGACCAAATCCAATAAACTGTACTTCAACGTTTAAAACGTCTACTTGATGAAAACAATTGCTAACTAAAGCCTCGAATTCATCAAAAGAAATATTGCGATGGACATTCGACTTGAGAGAAACGTTTATTAGATGAGGTAAGCTAATAGAACACTTTCCTATTAGATTAGTTCTCGATTCTTTCAAATTGCCAATCGATAGACGACGTATTTGCGGAACGCAAGGTAAAAGAATAAACAATTGATCAATTGAGATCTCATGATTGATAACAAAATGTTCGATATGTGTAGCAGCAACGAATGATTTTGGACATTGTAATGTTTCGATACATATTTCGCAATATTTCATATTCGGTAAAGGCAATAACTTTGCATAAATATTACTCTTGTCGGTAAGATGGTTAATCGACACGAGGGTCAAGGAAGATAAAACAGGTAGAGACTGCAAGTGAATGAGAAGCTTTTCGACATGGTTCGCATCGATATGATTGAGGACAAGTGTTGAAAGTTGAGTGAATTTCTTCATCAACGGAACAAATAATGAACATAAATCGATGCATGGATTCGATAAGCGAAAGGATTCGATTCGAGAAGTACAAGGTTTGATGATTTGTGAGACGTAATGCTGAAGAGCTGCTTTCGATATCGATGAAATATTGATGTGAATTGGAAAATTCGAATGAAGAAAAAGACTTTGAAATCGATTGTTAAGATCATAAAAGGCTTGAAATGCATGATGATCGAGAAGATAATCGAAGATTTCGTAGAAAAGTTCATTGGAAAGATCTTCGAGTGAAGAGATACGCTTGTGACTTGATAAATTGGTTTCAATTGCTGATGCTAGAAAAACAAAGAAATACAATCCTACAAGATTCGAATCGGAATTTTACTGTCTGATTTTTGTCTTTTGTTGTTATTATAATCGACAGAAGTATCAGTTCGTGGTCGTTTATTTCGTCTCATTCTAAAAATCGAAAGAATAAGTGTTTGTTTGAAATCGCGAAAAGAGAAAATGAACATGCACGTCGATTTATTTCGATATATATATATAGATACATACGCAGAACGAGCAAGAAAATCGTACAGAGAGAAAGTAGCAGAAGTCGGTCGTCAGCAGTGAATCGAACGCGATTAGGAGCTATTCTATCTATTCGTATCTTGTGACTTCTGTCGTTAATTCTAATCTCTTTGACTATTGTGTCGTTCATTTGCAGAAGTGGAGGAGATGCGTGTAGACATCCCATTATTCAAGATAACATAGACTGGTTCTGGCGGTGGAAGCAGAGGAGCAGGACCTGGTGTAGGAAAATTCTCGCCAAGTTCTTTGACATATTGTTCAACATTATTCATATAATGTGCCATTTCTTCCTTTTGATCGTGTCTGATGGCAAATGCTTTGAAATAAACATCTACTTCGTCTGGACTTGGTGTACGGTCTGTTGGAGATTGGTTTTCTGCTAACATCAGACGATACATAGTAAGGACGTTGATAACGTGTGCGAGCGTAGGCATAGTCATGAAATCCGAAGAGAGTAGCGCCTCTCCGCCTGACAATAGATACAAATGGCTCATTGTCCAAGGAAACCACTCCGACTGAATCGCTACGTATCCATGTTCAACGTGTTCGCCGAAGTTGTTATAATCATTATGTTGCTTGATCCAGTCTTCAATTGTGAATGGCCCGTCAGAAGAAGAGTTAATAGCATACGCCGGATCGATGACCATTGGCCCTTTATCATCGATATTCACACATAAGGCAACATGTGGTATTCGTATAGAATCCAGAAGAGAAATCATATTTCTTCGAAAAGGTACCCGAAAACCATTAGACGTTTCCATATAAAATGGCCGATATAGAGAAGCGTAGTAGTCGGGCCTGTTCATCTTAGAGGACGACCTAGGAGATCCTTGGAGTCCGATGAACGATATGTAGGCTAGCGCTCCAGATGCTCCTGGAATTTCAGAACAGATTGTTTCGCCCATTGCACGCATCAGTACTGCACGATACGCACAAATTGCATCACCATGCGCTTCATGCCAATGGTAGAGTGGATGATTCTTGATGGTTGTATAGATACCGTCGACTAGATCTTTTCTCATACTACTGCTAAAGCAACTCCTTCTACTTGGATCATAGTTGATAGACACAGATCGTGTTTTCACATCTTCCGTTGGGTGAAGTACGACTTGTATTTGCAAGAGATTGGAGCGTTTTGAAGATGGTTTTTTTGTTAAAAAACTCTCATTTTTCTTCTTCGTCGACGATTCATCGGTGCTTTTGTGTACGTTAGACAAGATTTTGCTCATACATTTGTAATATTTTATGAAACACACACGTCCATCTTCATCGGCATCCAATTGATGCAATAAATGTTCAATAATTGGCTTTATTGATTGTCGATTTGCTTTTATCAAACATCTCTTTAGTTGATCTTTGCGGATGTAACCAGTTCTATTTCGATCAAGCTCTTGAAAAAAACGAACTATTTCCAATAACTCAGGTTGTTTGCCTACGGACACAAAAGGCACGACGTTGTGACAGTTATCAATGTGTTTTCGTTGCATTACTTCGATATTTGATTTGTGTAATGTATCTAGCATTCCCATTTTATACCTCTAATTTGCCATGCGTGCAGAGAAAGAACGTGTGTTAGTTGTAACTATTAGAAAATGATGTGGACATTTCACCAATGACATCATCGACGGTATGAACTATGTGTTCTTCAGTGGTAGAAGAAGTGCATTTTGTTTTTTATAGTATGGATGAATTTGGCCGCGATGGCAATTATTTCGATTCGATTTAGTTTCTCTCTCGGTGGTGAAGAATGGTAATATGAATAAGATGATGGAAGCAAAGAAGTAAAAGGGTTTATTAGATAAAGGCAAATGTAGTTGGCACGACGTTGCCTTTGCATACATCTATGGAAAAATATGACAAAACACTTATGCGCTATAATGATCGACATAACGACTGTTGATGCGTTTATGACAATAAGAAAATCCGATAAGTATTTTTATCTGGAAGTGCAAAACCGATACGGGACAAGAAGAATTTGACATTCGGCTGCCGACATCAAATAATCGGTTCCTCGAGTTTATTTGAGATCAAAATCTCTTCCCAATGCTTTTGTTCTTCTGTACGAAAATCAATATTTTATGCCCTTTCGATCCTTTCCATTATTATTATTAGCTATGGCATCATGTTTCAATTGAAGCACAAGATTAAATATGGAATCCTATTCCTTTCTCTTTATTTGTACATACAAGGTAGCGAGTGTTGATTTTCTTCGATTATGTCATGTCATCTTGGTTTCGTATGAAAAGGCACTATACATATGTCACGCTTCTCCATTGGACACGATTGTTCGCACGCCAGTTTTAGCAACTATCCGTTGTTGAACGACGCTATCGGTCAGTTTCTCACCTTCCATTCTGATCTCATCCGAACAATCTTACTTTATATAAATTAATTTAGTATTCACATGGAAGGTACACTGTTGGTTATAGTATTAATATTTTCCACTTGAAGGACACATTTTCTTTACGTGTATTATGGATACAGACGAAGCATTTTGTCTCCAACGTGATGGAGAATATGAGGAAAATCAGGCAAATAATGCCATTTTCTGAGCGCCTGCTTTTCTCTGGTTCTATTTCCCTGTCTTCGGCTATACATCACGCAACGTAAGTCATTTCAATCCGGTAACTACAACTTCTTCCTAACACGAAAAGTATATAATCAACGTCCGTATTTCACCCGGCACCTATGCAACAATGGTAATTAGTCAATCGATCGCTTTCGTATTTCCTAAGCTCAATATTAATATTTGTAGTTATATCCATTCGATTATTCATTCAATCGGCATATATCAAATCCATCACATTTTCCCTAAGATTCCTCCATAAAATCTAAGTACAAAAAAGATCGTCCTAAAACACTACGAATAGTATCTTTTGATATTTTTCTTTTTTTCAGAGGAAACTACCGGTCATTTTCGAAAAGCATTACCACATCTTGTTCATTTAGACGTATGAGTAAAAAATTTGCTCATCAAAGATACATCGGACGTGATGTACATGTCTTTACATATAAGAGCGATTAAAATGACAAATAAATTTCACATTACAATATAAAATACATTTGATTGCTTTCTTATCTTTATGTACTGCTGGATCTTAAATTTTCTAAAGACTTCTTAATTCGTTTTATGCCTGTAGGAGAAACTAATTTCATAGTTTGTAACAAATTCAATGCTTTTATAAAACAATTACGAGCCAACACTTTATCATTGTAATGTACATAAATATTTCCAAATAATTCGTAATTGTCCACCATTGAAGAATGTGTCGTTGAATATGATGAATTTTTAGCTATTTCAATTGATTTATGACAATATTCATAAGCTGTATCGTATGCAGCACACATGTAATAACAATATCCCAATTGATTGTTTAAAAATATCATTTCCGATTTTCTATCAACTGCAGTATGATTTTCCTGTATTTCTAATGCTTGTTGAAAATGTTCAATAGCTGAATGATGTTTTTCTTGTTGACCGAAAGCGTGAGCAGCAGTTATATGCAAACGGTACAGAGAAGGATGGCTTGATATTTTCATACTCATAAAGAATCCTAAAGCCANTTCGAGAAGTACAAGGTTTGATGATTTGTGAGACGTAATGCTGAAGAGCTGCTTTCGATATCGATGAAATATTGATGTGAATTGGAAAATTCGAATGAAGAAAAAGACTTTGAAATCGATTATTAAGGTCGTAAAAGGCTAGAAATGCATGATGATCGAGAAGATAATCGAAGATTTCGTAGAAAAGTTCATTGGAAAGATCTTCGAGTGAAGAGACACGCTTGTGACCTGATAAGTTGGTTTCAATTGCTGATGCTAGAAAAACAAAGAAATACAATCCTACAAGATTCGAATCGGAATTTTACTGTCTGATTTTTGTTTTTTGTTGTTATTATAATCGACTGAAGTATCGGTTCGTGGTCGTTTATTTCGCCTCATTCTAAAAATCGAAAGATTAAGTGTTTGTTTGAAATCGTGAAAAGAGAAAATGAATATGCACGTCGATTTATTTCGATATATATATATACGCAGAACGAGCAAGAAAATCGTACAGAGAGAAAGTAGTAGAAGTCGGTCGTCAGCAGCGAATCGAACGTGATTAGAAGCTATTCTATCTATTCGTATCTCGCGACTTCTGCCGTTAATTCTAATCTCTTTGTCTGTTGCGTCTCTCATTTGTAGAAGTACAGGAGATGCGTGTAGACATCCCATTACTCAAGATGACATAGACTGGTTCTGGTGGTGGAAGAAGAGGAGCAGGACCTGGTGGAGGAAAATTCTCGCCAAGTTCTTTGACATATTGTTCAACATTATTCATATAATGTACCATGTCTTCCTTTTGATCGTGTCTGATGGCAAATGCTTTGAAATAAACATCGACTTCGTCTGGACTTGGTGTACGGTCTGCTGGACATTGGTTTTCTGCTAACATCAGACAATACATAGTAAGGACGTTGATAACGTGTGCGAGCGTAGGCATAGCCATGAAATCCGAAGAGAGTAGTGCCTCTCCGCCTGACAATAGATACAAATGGCTCATTGCCCAAGGAAACCACTCTGACTGAATCGCTACATATCCATGTTCAACGTGTTCGCCGAAGTTGTTATAATCATTGTGTTGCTTGATCCAGTCTTCAATTGTGAATGGACCGTCAGAAGATGAGTCAATAGCATACGCTGGATCGATGACTACTGGCCCTTTATCATCTATATTCACACATAAGGCAACATGTGGTATTCGTATAGAATCCAGAAGAGAAATCATATTTCTTCGGAAAGGTACCCGAAAACCATTGGACGTTTCCATATAAAATGGCCGATATTGAGAAGCGTAGTAGTCGGGCCTGTTCATCTTAGAGGACGATCTGGGAGATCCCTGGAGTCCGACGAACGATATGTAGGCTAGCGCTCCAGATGCTCCTGGCATTTCAGAACAGATTGTTTCGGCCATTGCACGCATCAGTACTGCACGATACGCACAAATTGCATCGCCATGCGCTTCATGCCAATGGTAGAGTGGATGGTTCTTGATGGTTGCATAGATACTGTCGACTAGATCTTTTCTCATACTACTGCTAAAGCAACTCCTTCTACTTGGAACATAGTTGATAGACACAGATCGTGTTTTCACATCTTCCGTTGGATGAAGTACGACTTGTATTTGCAAGAGACTGGAGTGTTTTGAAGGTGGATTTTTTGATACAAAACTCTCATCTTTCGCCTTCGTCGATGATTCATCGGTGCTTTTGTGTACGTTAGACAAGATTTTGCTCATACATTCGTAATATTTAATGAAACACACACGCCCATCTTCATCGGCATCCAATTGATGCAGCAAATGTTTAATAATTGGCTTTATTGATTGACGATTTGCTTTTATCAAACATCTCTTTAGTTGACCTTTGCGGATGTAACCAGTCTTATTTCGATCGAGCTCTTGAAAAAAACGTACTATTTCCAATAACTCAGGTTGTTTGCCTACGGACACAAACGGCGCGACATTGTGATAGTTATCAACGCGTTTTCGTTGCATTCCTTCGATGTTTGATTTGTGTAATGTATCTAGCATTCCATTTATATACCTCTAATTTGCCATGCGTGCAGAAAAAGAACGTGTGTAAGTTGTAACTATTAGAAAATGATGTGGACATTTCACCAATGACATCATCGACGGTATGAACTATGTGTTCTTCAGTGGTAGAAGAAGTGCGTTTTGTTTTTTATAGTATGGATGAATTTGGCCGCGATGGCAATTATTTCGATTCGATTTAGTTTCTCTCTCGGTGGTGAAGAATGGTAATATGAATAAGATGATGTAAGCAAAGACGTAGAAGGGTTTCATTATTATTATTAGCTATGTCATCATGTTTCAATTGGAGCACAAGATTAAATATGGATTTCTATTCCTTTCTCTTTATTTGTACATACAATGTAGCGAATGTTGATTTTCCTCGATTATGCCATGTCATCTTCGTTTCGTATAAAAGGCACTCTATACAAGCCACTCTTCGTCATTGGACACGATTGTTCGCAGGCCAGTTTTAGCAACTATCCGTTGTTGAACGACACAATCGGTCAGTTTCTGACCTTCCATTCTGATCTCATCAAAACAATCTTGTTTTATTTAAAGTACTTTAGTATTCACATGGAAGGTACGCTGTTAGTTATAGCATTAATATTTTTCACTCGAGCAACACATTTTCTTTACGCGTATTGTGGATACAGACGAAGCATTTTGTCCCCAACGTGATGGAGAATATGAGGAAAATCAAGCAAATAATGCCATTTTCTGAGCGCCTGCTTTTCTCTGGTTCTATTTCCTTGTCTTCGGCTATACATCACGCAACGTAAGTCATTCCAATTCGGTAACTACACCTTCTTCCTAACACGAAAAGTACATAATCAACGTCTGTATTTCACCCGGCACCTAAATATTAATATTTGTAGCTATATCCATTCGATTATTCATTCAATCGGCACATATCAAATCCATCAGATTTTCCCTGAGATTCCTCCTTATAATCTAAATACAAACAATCATCCTAAAACACTACGAATAGTATCTCTTCATATTTTTCTTTTTTTCAGAGGAAACTACCGGCCACTTTCGAAAAGCATTACCACATCTTGTTCATTTAGACGTATGAGTAAAAAATTTGTTCATCAAAGATACATCGGACGTGATGTACATGTCTTTACATATAGGAGCGATTGAAATGACAAATAAATTTCACGTAATAATATAAAATAAATTTGATTACTTTCTTATATTTACATGCTGCTGGATCTTAAATTTTCTAAAGACTTCTTAATTCGTTTTAAGTCTGTAGGAGAAACTGATTTCCTGGTTTGTAACAAATTCAATACTTTCACAAAACAATTACGAGCCAACACTTTATCATTGTAATGTACATAAATATTTCCAAATAATTCGTAATTGTCCACCATTGAAGAATGTGTCGTTGAATATGATGAATTTTTAGCTACTTCAATTGATTTATGACAATATTCATAAGCTGTATCGTATGCAGCACACATGTAATAACAATATCCCAATTGATTGTTTAAAAATATCATTTCCGATTTTCTATCTACTGCAGTATGATTGTCTTGATTTTCCTGTATTTCTAATGCTTGTTGAAAATGTTCAATAGCTGAATGATGTTTTTCTTGTTGACCGAAAGCGTGAGCAGCAGTTATATGCAAACGGTACAGAGAAGGATGGCTTGATATTTTCATACTCATAAAGAATCCTAAAGCCAATGTACAATATTCAACAGACGACTTCCAATCTTCTAAATTACAGAAACAAAAAGCCATTTCAGCATACAAATCAACTACTCTAATGTTGAACATGTTTTGCTGTGCTGATTGTCGTTCAGCTTTTTGAAAGTACTCAATAGCAGAAGGATAATTTTCCATTTTGTTATAACACAGTCCAATTCGGTAAAACAAGTCAAATATTAGCTTTTCATTTAAAAACGGTAACATTTTCAAACTAGATTCATAATGATCTATGGCTACGCCCCAAACTTCTTTCGCCTGATACAATCGGGCAATTCTCCAATTTAGATCGGCCGTCTTTCGCCTTTCTCCAACATTCGGTTGAACAATTTCTAGGTATATTTTCAGAGCTTGTTCGTAATAATCAAGAGATAAATCAGGTAAAAGTTTCTCTTGATAACATTTACCAATGCGAACATACGAGTCAGCAATATCACACTTCTTCTCTCCCGTATCTAGTTGAATGTTTAACATTTTTTGAAAATACTCGATGGCTAAGTCATACATGTTCTCATGTTGATGAAACCATCCTAATTCGAAATAAATATCCATTAATTGCATAAAATTATCGTTCGATTGATTATCTTCATAGACTCGAAGAGCTGCTTCAAAGTGACGAATACATAAATCATTTTCTTCTTTCATTTTATAACAAGTCCCAATCTTATAATGAAATTGAGCAGTTTCTGTGGGAGATATTTGTTCTAGTATATTCAAACCTTTCACATAGGAATCGATAGCTAAATCATATTGATAATCTTCACAATATGAATCGGCGACTATTTCATACATATATACACTGTCGTCGGATTCCTCAGCGCTTATCGAAGAATGTTTTTGAATCTCCACACATTCCCTATAATAGGTGAGAGCGAAATCATCATTTTCTAATTCTGAGTAACATTTCGCGATCGAATAGGTCAAATTAAAGATGTCTTGTTCGTGCTGATCACTATTCAGATTTCTAATGAAAGACAAGCCTTCCTTCTGCTTTTCAATAGCTAAAGTATACTCCTTTAACTCATAGTACAAATTCCCAATAGATTCGTAGGATTGAATAGCAAAATCGATTGAATACTTCTGATTAGATTCTGAAACACTGTCCAAAATTGCCTGATATTGATTAATAGCTAAATGATAATTTTTATCTTTTTCGTATAACCACGCAATACGGGTATAGATGACCAAAATGAACTTGTCTTTCTCAGAAATATCCGATTGTATCTCGATATCCTTTAACATATATCTAAACTGTCGAACACCCAATTGAAATTGTTTCGTTTTCAAATATATTAATGAAATACTCATTATAAGTCGATGGAAATCATTGTAACTTAGATGCCCATCAATGAATACATATTTCCTGTAGAAATTCGATAAAACTTCCATATTTTGCTCAGCATGTTCTTCATTGATCAGATAAGTCATAGTCGAGACATATTTCGAACAGGCTGTTTTCATGACTTCGTAATTATTACATTCCATTGCTCTGCTCACTAATTTTGCATAATAGTCCATGCTTAGGTGGAATTTGCGTTGTTCGTCGTAAATTTCACCCATTAGTACATAGGAAATCTCGATATCTTCAATATTTGATGAAGATTTATTGATATTCAATGATAAATTAGCATGTTTAAGCGCTAAATCATGAGAATTTAACTGAAGATAACAGCATGCTATCGAAGCATGCAATCTACCGAGTTCTCCATCGTTTTCATTGTATTTTTTATGTTCCAATACGTCGAGATATTGATTCAGTGCTAATTGATGCATCCCAGCTAACTGATAAGCTTCGCCAAGACTGTGACATGTTTGTATTTGTAGCAGATGAGATCTCGAATAAATATTTTGTTGACAGACTAAAGCTTTTTGATAAGAGTCAATAGCCATGTCAGTATTTGATTGTTTTCGGAAAATATGACCCATAAGATGATAGATTTCCGCATTGGCAATCGAATTTCTCGTTTCACCAAACTTTTCCAATGCTTGTTGGCAATGTTCTAATGCATCAGAGTATCTCTTTTGTTTAAAATAACATCGACTCATACAGAAATGAAGTGCACCAAGTAGCTGAACGTTACAATGATCAGATAAAGTACGAAACGCTTCTTCAACGAAATCGTATGCTAGTTGAACTTGTTCAATAGCTAGATATATCAAACTTAACCTTAGTAAACTAGCAGCTATTGGCGTTGAATAATTATGACGAAAATTCTTCTGTGTTTCGTAAGACTCGAAAGCGTATTTCAAAGCGAAATCATATTGTTGAATACCTCCATATGCATCCGCAAGATTTCCGGTGATAATATAAATTTCATAATCTCTTAGTAAGGGGTCCTTATTACATGCTAAACAGTTTTTATACAACTCCTCATAATAAGCAATTGCCTTTTTATGGGAGCCAATAATTGACAGAAATTTGCCGAAAAACGAATGGGCATTAATGTTTGAAAGAACGTTATCATCCAAATTTTCTTGTAGATATTCTCGTTCAACTTGAAAGTAATCATTTTTTAAATAATCAATGTCATTACTAACACCAATCATTGAGATAGTATATTTCTTATTTATGTATTGGACGTCGACGATTTGAAAAACAGCACCGAGATCGATTAGAACTTCATCTTCGGACGGATTAATACTCATTCGGGAGACATAAGCGTAGACGATATTGTTTAGGTCTGTATCGATTTTAATCTCGAAAATGACGTTCGCGCTGAACATTTCTGCAACATCTCGTTTAAACGTTGTCGACAGAAATCCATTCGTTGAGATGTATTTTCCAATCGATTGTCTTAATTGATCGATAACCGATAACGGTAATGTTAAACCACGATAAACTGTGATTGATTCCATTGCAATTTGAAATGTTTCGAGATTGTCATCAAATATCGATTTTAAGTTTTTACAAAGGTCTTTAATGAAATACCTTAAACGATACAACGTTTCGATATCTTCTGTTCTCAACGCTTTATTTACAAATCGATATAGAAAGCAATCTTTCGTATACCAATAAATCGCATCCGATGCTTTATATGTCTGATCGAATAACTTGATTTGTTCTAAGAATTTCTCATTTGATCGATAATATGATCGGCAAACATCGATTAATTCCTGCTTGCATCGGTCATTTTCTGTTTCCATTGTCATTAATGTATCACGCAATAATTGATACCATAAATAACTAGCTGACTCATGTTCTAGTTCACGTATTGGCTTATCAATACGACTAAACAAGTTGAATATAGACAAATGTTTCAATAAACAATGAATTTGTTTCTCTAAAGCAGTAAATAATGCTTGGTATTCTGTGTATATACCGAGTAATTTGGGGTATTGATTTCCTTCGAGAAGATCTTCATAGTATGAACGATTAAAACAGAATATATAAATCGAGTCAATTACGTCGTGAATATGAACTGAAGATAATGCTTGACGAGAATACCGTCCGGCAACAATTAAAATGATTTTTTCATTGATAATATTATCCAAAACAGTAATTAATTCGTTCAATGAATAACAAATTTGAGTGTGATCACAGGAATGTTCGAGAAGAAGTCGGATACTGTCATCGAGTTGATCATCGTACCATATTACTGTTAGGTCTTCGTCGGTATTAAACGTAAAAACAGCTTTTGATATGGCAATTTCTTCGTGTGTTATGGTACGTTTTATGTCTAACGGCGTCTCCATGTGCAATGTATTGCTGTAACGAGAAAAAAAGTATGTTAGTAAACTTTTGATGTTGGTTTTTTTTCAACTTTTTTCTTTCCTTTTACAAGCAAATGTGTTAGTGCTTGACAATTTCAGCTAATGTCCACAGAAAAAGAATAATAGACTACATAGTGCTCCGTCTTCGTGTAGAGACGAAAGTATACAGTACAAAGTATCTCAAACGAGTACATTTCAATATTAGAAAGATATGAGCGATAAAACGAATCTATGTAAAGAGTCTTTTTAATTTAGAAAAATAGTCGTATATATTTCTTCGTATCCTTAATGCGCTCAAAGTTTCACCGGTGACCATTTATTTGCTATCAATTCTATATATCTCGCGAAACATTGCAATAATTATCGCCATTGACATTGTCAGTCATCTGTAATAAGTATGGATTAATTTCTTGTCAGCTATCAAATTTAACTAACGATCACGACATCGATGAGATGTATTCCATATCATCGCGTTGTCGATGGTGCCGCTGATATTAGTATTATGGTGAAGACGAAATTTTCGATGCTTGTCAATTTAGTGATTCCACTCGATTCAGTGTTATTCGCCCGTCGTGATCGCGGATAGATCTTCACCGTGCGATGAGAAAGTAGATGAAGCGTTTTCATATACGAAAAATATTGTGGCATTAATAACATTTCCAGAGATATGTAGTCGGGATGCTCTACATCAAAGTTAGATCCAGAAAAATGAAACCGACGAAAGTAATTGCCATTCATGGCCATGTGATAATCCATACACACGTTGTGATGGTGAGTCAATGTTCGAATGGTCTTGATGAAGTCCATTGTCCGACTTCGGGCCGATTCCGCAAAATCTCTTTCTATAACGGAATGCGGAGCCTAAGTGAATACTATTTCGCATGAAAGAATAAGAAATACATTCACTTCGATGACCTTTGCGCGTTAGCTCCCACCGGAATCTGCCGCCACCTCTGAACAACGAGCCGTGCCTCTACAGTTTGAAATCGTGTGCTTTATCGTCTGAAAAGTAGTGAGAGTGTCTGTGATCTGCCACCCTCACCCCACCCTCAAGATGGCACTCGATTCTATCCTTAGTTACCAAATAAAACCCAACATTTCCATTCATCAGCAGTGATAGACCATCAAAATAAGTACGATGTTCAATGTAATCATCTTAGTTTTAGTACTGATCAATGGTTTACTGTCATTGTTAACGTTTACTAGTCGGGACAGGAAACTATTTATTTGTTCTGTCGATTACATCCACAGTAACAATTATTTTATTGACGTTAAAGTTAGGTTTATTGCTCTATAGTCAGTCGTCTGGTGTTATCAAACACGCGAGTTTTGACAAGAAGAAAAGTCAAAAGGTATCGAAATGGATGATTATGGCTATGTTTGTTGCCGTAACTGCAACGCATATCTCATGAACCTTTTTATCGTCATTTGAATGATGATATCGATATCGACGAGCATCGAGTTTGGCGTCTATTTCAAGATCCTTCATCGATGCGCATCTATAATTCATTTATGACTTTAATACATTATATACGTCCGGTTTTAATCAATCTTATTTCCGCTCTTTGGATTATTTCTATCGATGTCTCAGTTGACCATATTATTCATTAGTAGTAGATACATGCGATCGCCGCAAGAGCCTTGGGTTTATCTTATCACTTATTTTCTTTTCATTTATTCCGTCAATATTAACATTCACTCTCAATGTCATCCTGTCAAAACATTACAAAAGTGAATTCAATACTGTTTACGAAAGAACAGTTGGTCGATTTCGTATCACTGGAATATGATGGAAAATGCAAAAGCATCAAGCAGGAATTTTGTAAAATCTCAGGACACCTTGTTTTTGTCTGCCGCAACCCGTAACTGCTCCGACGAGAAGGCAGGTATTATTGCAGACAAATCGCATTCGAATAGAAACATTCTCAATCGCTTGAACTTCATCTGTTCGTATTGGTACCATACTTTTATCATTTGGATCAGCCGATATTTTGTAACATTGATTCTTGTCGTTGATAACTATCCATGTTTCTCGTCCGAATGGAATTTGCATTCTGTGATGCAATGGGAATGAATTGTTTGGTTTTGGAATTCGTTTCATCAAAGTTAGTTGATCGTCATATTTTCTTAAATCGACAAATTCGACACGATCATTGCATCGAATATNCTTCAGTTCATATGGCGCCGTTAGACATAAAACGTACCATAACACACGTAAAAACAGCTTTTGATATGGCAATTTCTTCGTGTGTTATGGTACGTTTTATGTCTAACGGCGCCTCCATGTGCAATGTATTGCTGTTACGAGAAAAAAAGTGTGTTAGTAAACTTTTGATGTTGGTTTTTTTTTTCAACTTTTTTCTTTCCTTTTACAAGCAAACGTGTTAGTGCTTGACAATTTCAGCTAATGTCGACAGAAAAAGAATAATAGACCACATAGTGCTCTGTCTTCGTGTAGAGACGAAAGTGTACAGTACAAAGTATCTCAAACGAGTACACTTCAATATTAGAAAAGATGTGAACGATAAAACGAGTCTATGTAAAGAGTCTTTTTAATTTAGAAAAATAGTCGTATATATTTCTTCGTATCCTTGATGCGCTCAGAGTTTCACCGTTGACCATTTATTTGCCACCAATTCTATATATCTCGCGAAATATTGCAATAGTTATCGCCATTGACATTGTCAGTCATCTGTAATAAGTATGGATTAATTTGTTGTCAGCTATCAAATTTAACAAACGATCACGACATCGATGACATGTATTCCATATCATGGCGTTGTCGATGGTGCCACTGATATTATTATTATGGTGAAGACGAAATTTTCGATGCTTGTCAATTTAGTGATTCCACTCGATTCAGTGTTATTCGCCCGTCGTGATCGCGGATAGATCTTCACAGTGCGATGATAAAGTAGATGAAGCGTTTTCATATACGAAAAATATTGTGGCATTAAAAACATTTCCACAGATATGTAGTCGGGATGCTACACATCAAAGTTTGATCCAGAAAAATGAAACCGACGAAAGTAATTGCCATTCATGACCATGTGATAATCCATACACACGTTGTGATGGTGAGCCAATGTTCGAATGGCCTTGATGAAGTCCATTGTCCGACTTCGGGCCGATTCCGCAAAATCTCTTTCTATAATGGAACGCGGAACCTAAGAGAATACTATTTCGCATGAAAGAATAAGAAATGCATTCACTTCGATGACCTTTGCGCGTTAGCTCCCACCGAAATCTGTCGCCACCTCTACAGTTTGAAATCGTTTGCTTTATCATCTGAAAAGTGGTGAGGGTGTCTGTGATCTGCCACCCTCATCCCACCCTCAAGATGGCACTCGATTCGATCCTTAGTTACCATATAAAACCCAACATTTCCATTCATCAGCAGTGATAGACCATGGAAATAAGTACGATGTTCAATGTAATCATCTTAGTTTTAGGACTGATCAATGGTTTACTGTCATTGTTAACGTTTACTCAAAAAGTCGTAAGATCATAGTCGGAACAGGAAACTATTTATTTGTTCTGTCGATTACATCCATACTAACAATTATTTTATTGACATTAAAGTTAGGTTTATTGATCTATAGTCAATCGTCTGGTGTTATCAAACCCGCGAGTTTTGACAAGAAGAAAAGTCAAACGGTATCGAAGTGGATGATTATGGCTGTGTTTGTTGCCGTAACTGCAACGCATATCCCATGAACCTTTTTATCGCCATTTGACTGATGATATCGACATCAACGAGCATCGAGTTTGGCGTCTAGTTCAAGATCCTTCATCGATGCGTATCTATAATTCATTTATGACTTTAATACATTATTATATACGTCCGGTTTTAATCAATCTTATTTACGCTCTTTGGATTATTTCTATTGATGCCTCATTTGACCATATTATTCATTAGTAGTAGATACATGCGATCGCCGCGTGAGTCTTGGATTTATCGTATCGCTTATTTTCTTTTCATTTATTCCGTCAATATTAACATTCACTCTCAATGTCATCCCGTCAAAACATTACAAAAGTGAATTCAATACTGTTTACGAAAGAACAGTTCGTCGATTTCGTATTACTGGAATGTTGGAAAATGAAACAGCATCAAGCAGGAATTTTGTAAAATTTCAGGACACCTTGTTTTTGTTTGCTGTTACCCGTAACTGCTCCGACGAGAAGGTAGGTATTATTGCAGACAAATCGCATTCGAATAGAAACATTCTCAATTGCTTGAACTTCATCTGTTCGTATTGGTACCATACTTTTATCATTTGGATCAGCCGATATTTTGTAACATTGATTCTTGTCGTTGATAACTAACCATGTTTCTCGTCCGAATGGAATTTGCATTCTGTGATCCAATGGGAATGAATTATTTGCTTTTGGAATTCGTTTCATCAAAGTTAGTTGATCGTCATATTTTCTTAAATCGACAAATTCGACACGATCATTGCATCGAATATTCATTGCTAAATAGGTACCAGCAAGATTTAATGTTATTAATCGGATTTCATCGTTTTCTTCATAGTCCAAGTCTACTTTCGACCATCCTCTTTTCATCATCCATGAATTAGTGTTGATTAACTCAATGCGACGATAGCCACGATTGAGAAATAAATAATCAGGCAAACCGGGCGATGTTGTAATAAAACGAAAGAATTCTGCAGCTTTGCTACACCGTTGTGTCACGTCGTATTTCAAAGAATAAACATGTATCGATTTAATATAAATAAAATCACCAAATTTCACTTGCGGTGTTTGCTGATCGATTTCTAACGATAGGGTATACAATCTGTACCGATAAAGGACCAGAAAGCAGTCCATAAATGAACACCAATGAATACAAGTTGCAAAATTGTTGTGTTGAGGTTCACCCCAAGGACGTTCATCGATTTGTTTTTCATGATCAAATAGCCTTAATTTCTTGTCGTCTTTTAGTAGAATAACATTATATTTGTCGCAAACATCAAAAACTCCATATTGAATTTCATCCGTTGGCAATTCAATCTGTTTTTCGCAAGGCGTACACAGAGCTTTCTCTATCCGAATAGCATCTTCATTGGATTCTTCATACTCGCCTAAAATAAATAAATAAATATATAGCTTCAGCTATAAATCAAGACTATGAGTATCTACCATTTGCTGCATATTGTTGAATGACGGTTGTCTCGTTTTCTTGCATCTCCTTATCTTGCACTTCGACATTGACTAGACGTTGTTGAATAGTGGCAAGTTGACTTTCGATAGTCTCGGTTTTGTGACTTATTTTCGCAAAGTTTTGCTGACAACTATCAATGCGTTCGATGCATTCCTTATTGTTTGACTCTACCAGATAGCAGCGTTCATCGAAATCTTTAGCCAGTTGATCAAGATCTGGAATTGTAATTGAGTGCGACGCATCTGAGTTTGTAGAAGGTGATCGCTGTTCAACTTGACAGATACGTGACTCGAGTTCTCGATTTTGTGAGCGTAGGCGACCTTGCTCTTCCTGAAGGTTCCGAACTTTTGATTTCAGATCTTGATTTTCAGCTTTTATTGCCTGGAACTCTGCGCGCATACGATTGAAATTTTCTTCAAGTCTTTGACTGTCGAACTCCGATCGACCTAGGATAGACAATACAAAAAATATCCGATAATTTAAAGTCCAGATCCATACTGTCAGCTCGAAAGCCACGTCGATCACTAGAAGAATTCGATTGACGAGACGATCTTCGTTTTCGAGAAGAACGACTCGATATTCCGCTGTAGTGTCCACCATTTGAATCCATGTGTATGAGTCTGTTTCAAGTTAACGACTGGGTAAAAATGATTGTGATGAAGAAAACAAATGCAAACCTTTACGCACGCCACAATGCAGACTGTGAATAAAAGAGAAGAACAGAAAAATCTACTTGAGTTGTTTCCTGTGAAATTTATTTAAAAACAAAAACATCATGCATCACATTCACATATAGCACAAGAGAAAGAAAGAGTACTTCTTTAAGCTATTTGTTGAGAAACATGGTTTATTAGCAGTTCGAGTTTGGTCTGATCTCCCTCAAGTAGTTCTAGAACTCGTTTTCGACCTTTGTTTGCTAATGTTTGCCACAGTGTCTTGTTCGAAGCACAACGCTTCTCCAGTATAACTATTGCTAAGACCGTTGTGATAATCATCTGTTGAGTACTGTTGTCTATCGTAAAAAATTGCGATGGAATGAAATCACTGAGCGATTTGTTAGTTAATTTCTTAATATCGTCGTCTGTTAATTTCCATAATCCATCGTACTGCTGTTTCTCAATGAAGCGTTCAATCAGCTGTTGTTCATCTGTTGGCCAATTTACAGCGAGATCTCGATGATTAGTTGATAATGTTTCTTTCGTATCAATAGAAACAGATTTTTTTGTAAAAAACGACGAAGCAAAATTAGCAATTGGCTTGAAGATAGAACCAACATTCGTACTAGATTTCTTGTAAAACATTGCAGACTCCAACATCAAACAGTCAGCTTGCGCCGCCAACGAATCAAGACGTTCGCTTCTAGTCAACGCACATTGCACATTTGCACTCATCAAACTACGAACGGCATCAACATCAGTTTGCAATATGCCAAGCGTAGGAAACCCAGCTGAAGATCCATAGCCTCCCGGTTGATTGAGTAAGTTTTGGTATGTAGGCCCAGGCATAATTGATATTTCACGTAATTCCATATTTGTATTACTTTCCTTGTTGGCATCGAGCCGTTTCTCAACACCAATGAAAGCCGTGTATGGACAAAGTATACCGTATTTGGTGGAAAGATCAATTAGCAATTCCTTAGGTGTATCGTTCGAAGTATGTTGAAGCTTGCGAAGGATTGCTTTGGCAGCTAAACGTGTGATCGTTTGTGAACTGTTATTTGACATCGGCTGTTGAATCGAAACTATACTGATTGGATCTGAGTATTCTTTCGATGATAGTTCAACTGTTGTTTTCTCATCAAAGGGTATGGATTCATCAAGCAGCGCATAAAACAGCATTCGATCACCGATGAAGACAGGAAATGGACGTTCCGACAGACTGTGAAGCACTGTTTGGTTGGTTTTCCATTTGACGCTCATATTCGACAGACCCGAACGAAGAGCACGGGTCAGTTGCTCTGCTACATGGATATCAACATTGGTGTTCGGTGGAATAAAAGTAGAATGACCGTTCGTTGCATGTGCCAAACCCTTAACAAGCGCACGACTCGGCTAAGAGAAACAAAAGATCATTTTCGTAATGCATAGTAGACAAATCGACTGATAATCTTACCGAGTGACCAAGACCGAATGAGAAAATTCGTGTGTATTCAGCCATTGCTTTGCAAACATTCGTTACTTGATCAACATTTGACACTTCTCCATCGGTGAGTAGAAATATTTGTCTCATACGCCCTTCAGCTGGTTTATTTTCCGTAAGCCAAGTCAATGGTCTAAGTAATTCCGTTCCACCCAAATCAGCAGACATGTTTTTAATCAATGTTTCTGCCTGATCCATCGTTTTCTCATTATACTGCACCGACACCTGTGTATCGAAGAGCGGTATAAATGACGATCCAAAGCGAATAATGTTGAAATAACAATGAACCGGTAGACTTTTCAAGAAAAGTAACATCGCTTTACGTGCAAGACCTATTTTGTTTTCATCTTGCATCGAGCCACTACAGTCGATTACAAATAGAAATTCATCAGTTGTGTTGTCCTTGTTCTGTCGACAATCCTGTTCATTGGGCATGAATGAAATCATCAGAGCGCTCTTTTCAGCAGCAGCGATTATACTTGTTTTCGTTTGTGATAATTCAACATCAATAATAATATCACGACTAAAATGCAACACGCACTTTTTTTTAGAAAAGGAGATGTTTTCCTCGTAGATGGTAACTTACTCTAGTTGAACTGATTGTTGACTGAATTGAATAAGAAAATTGTCGGGATTGCTCATGTCTATTTTGATCGGATGCGATGGTGATGAAACACCACTGACGTTTTGAGCTAATCGATCCACACGACATTGTAAATCGATGGCATAAGGAACTGATTCAGCGTATTGAGCTTGAGTTCCGCCTGGTGATGAAATACCTTTGTGTTCAGGAGAATAACGTGGTGCAATTGTAGTAGGAATGACAAAACGAATGATTGGCTTTTCATTTCCATGCAAAAGATCAAGTTCGCTGACGTAACTAATAGTAATACGACATTTACTCTTTGGTTTCAGTCTACAATGGAATTGAAGAAGGTCAATATGTAACGCGATGTCTCGAAAGATACGTACGCTCCTACACTAACAATGAATATATCCTTGGAAGCTTCATCTTGCTCAAGCAAGTAAGCACCATGACCTGAAGCCAATGCTTCTGAATACTCTTGTTGTGCTACTTTCTTTTCTTTCAGTTCGGCAATGATTTCACGTTCGTCATCTATGTGAGCCATGAACGCATAGATAGCAGCATTTTCTTCAACTGGAAAACTGAAAAACAAGAAAATGTAGATGTTATAATCTACTTGTTTTTCTATTACCAGTAGACCGCTTCAATTGGCACGGATTCGTCATTTTGAAACAATTGAGTGATAGTGACATCAGCAGCGAACGAATTTATGTGAACATTGACGGAGACTTCTCTTAGAGGAACTAGTTCTTTCGAAATAGATGAAGAAGCGTTCTCCTTTTTAATGTAAAGCATTGCTATACTTTTGACGTTGTGTTGTGTAATATTTAGTATCTATCAGTCTTTTATAGGGTAGGTGAGAAACAGAAAATCGTATGAGTCAGCAAGGTAGCTGCGTGTCAAAGAAAAAAAAGTCGATGAATCATCGCAAACGTGTATATTACCATGCGATTGTGCAAGTATAGGAAAAAATTACTCACATGCGACTGGGGATAGTTTTTATTAAAATAAGTCGCAATACCTGGCTGACTCAATACTGATTCATCATACATTTGAGTAGTATTATCTGTTACAATTTTTATGAGAGATAAGTCGACGTTATATTGTTTTAATATTTACATCGTCCATCGTATCATAAATTATTCTTCTTCATAGTTTTCAACTTGTATATTTGTAAATCAACCATTCCGTACGTTTTACTCTATCAGTAAAATTGAATAGTCAGTTTTTATTTATTTTAAAATAATTTATATGAAAGAGTGTGCACTCTTCATTTTTTTTCTGATTCAATGACAACCAAACACTTTCGTTTATTTCACAATGACACGATCAGAAGCAATTGTGTACACCCACTACTATGCGACTGTCGCGATGTGTTCGATTGTTGGCAGGGTAGAATAGATGCACAACAAAAGAGAATGTTGCTGACGTAACAAATTACTGTTTACATATACACCTATACTCTATTGAAAAGTAGAAAGAGCGATGAAAGTAGCTTACTTGTTGATCAGAAGTACTCTAGCTCAATTGTTAGTAGTAGTCATTTACTCTTTCACTCGCAAAAGATTGTCACTATTCATCAGATGTCCGTGTCGAATTCTGTACCGCATCGCTTTGCTGTGCATAGAAGGGTAGGGCAATGGTAGATTGAACAATTCTAGCATTTACTATCGCTCTAATTTAGATCCCAAACGCAACCTATATTCACACACGCCCAAGGATAGTGTCAGTTTCTCAGCCACTACAACCACCACTAACGAGTATAGCTTATATTAACATACTTCCAAGATCGGTACCAATTGTTCGCTCGCCACCAGTACTCGAAACTCCGACACAGTCAGCACCAGAACTTTCTGTTTCGCCTACACTCTCCACATCAAAAGAAGCATTCGTTGTCAAGGACGGCCTATCAGAAACCGATCCATTTTGGACACGATGCTATGCGAAGTAAGCCATTTTTGTTTAGCAGCATCAAAGAAAATCTCTTGGCGTGTTTCAGATGCGGACTTTTTTGTTGCACGCCATGGTGTTGGGCTATTTCAGCGGTAATCTTAGGTGGCGCCATTGGAGCGATCATATTTTTTGCACTACGAAACAGTAAGCTAAAGATAAAAATACCTTGTAATTGCTCTATATGTGTGATTATAATTAGCCGCTGCGATAACAACCGGAACAACAACAACAACCATCAGCACAACGACTATCTATGTGCCAAGTGGTAAGTTCTTTCGCAAGAAAAAGAAGGAAATTCACTTAAAATTTTTATCTAGCGATATTGAACAATACATGCACATCGATAGTCAGTAATTCACCTACTGTTCTAGTGTACCTAACAAACTCAACGTCGTTCTCCTACACGTTCTATCAATATACATATGTCGCTGCATCGACGACGACAACTATGATGTTAGCTATGCGTCAAGATCCTAGTTACTGGTGTCTCGATGATATTTCTGTAACCTACAATGGTGTACAAATGTGGCAAAATGGCGGTTTTGAATTGAGTCCGTTAACAACATATTATACTTATTGTAATCCAAACGGGGCAGCTTCTAGCGGTAATATATCACCATCATGTCCCAATTCTGGAAGCTATAGTTTTAAAGATGGTTCAGTAACATATTCCGATTATATCAGTCAATCGTTTTCCACGGTAGTTGGTGGAACGTACAATATCAGTTTTTGGCTATCGAACTTAGGTGCTCCTACGAATAGTTTTATTATCATCATCGGTTAATGGACAGTTCTCGAATGTGACTGCTATAGAAGCAAATATACTCGATGATGAAACACAATATTTATGATTCTTGTTTTATTGTTTGAATATTTTGAAAAATACTACTGAAATATAACTCGAAATTTGATTGTGTGTCGCACGTCACGTAGTCTTTCCTGAATGGTTGCTATCGTAACCAACGGGTGCTCCATTTCTTCTTTTACTCGTAGCACGATCGTATTCAATTGTCGACAACAATGCATTAATCGTTGCCATTGTTGCCAATCTAGCAATTGTACTGTTTCGGCTTCATTAACCACTAATTCAACATGTCGAAGATTGCACATATTGCTAATCAGCTCAATTAGCGTTCTCCACAAGCACGACTGATAAGGTTGTCGGCAACTGTCTGAATTTGGATTTGTATAATGATCAATTTCAAGTAAAAAACGTTTGATTGTAACGTTTCGTATGTCTCCTGTAAGGTTTGGAAGATTACAACCATGTTTACATTTTGACTGAGTGCAATGTATTTCAAATTTTTCTACCGTGTTTGAAACGTGTCCGAAAATGTAATGGAATGCATACAAATTGACTCCACAGGTGTACCGAAGTGACAGGCGACTTAGATCAGGAAAAAAGACATTCCATTGTTCGATTTCTTTTATTGACTCGAGGTTGTCCAGTGTTAGTGAAAGAACATTTGGGAGCATCACCAAAGTGTTCGATATTTGCGTTATTGGAAACTGACTCGTATCAAAATGTACGGATGCGATTTGTTTTGACTTGAGCTGCCGAAAAATCGTGTTAATAAAACTCGTCGAAGGATTCGATAACTGTACTTTCATGTTGATTTCCGACAGTGTCAAAAGAATACTATCGTGGGAAGTGTTAATCATATCGTTGAGTGTTAAATATTGACAAATTTCCAAAACGACATCCCAACGGAGATCACGTTGCTCGCGAAGATCAAATGCCTACAAACGAAATAGAAAACGGAGTATGTATTAAAGTAGTGGAAAAGCTTTTTTTCTTTTGACCCACCAAGTCTTGCTCGTTCTTGTCAAATTCATCTTTGAAATCGAACAATTTGCGATATAAAATTCCACGAAGCACGGTATAATCGGTTCTTATTACTATATCATGTTCAATCATTTCTTCGAATACATATTGTGACTCTCGATACCAATGTTGATTTGATGCTAGCCGTCGTTTAATACCAATAAACATGGGACATCGTTCCATAGAAAAATCAGGCAACAATTCCGTCGAAAAGATCTCTTTCCACACTTGTACCAACCTATTTCAAGTACTATAATCACGATCAAACAATTCTTAATGAATATTTACTTTTTGCGATTGCCTTCGATAGTGATATCCCAAGGCCATACGAGATAATTTTCCAATAAGTAATCAATGATAGTCTCTGCGCAGAAGACTTTTTTGCAAATCATATTGATCGAGTCGTTTTTGTCATGGTGAATGTAGACTAGTACTGGACGACGCTAAAAAGGAAGAAAACTGTTTTCTTAAGTGTGATAACTAGACAAACAGACGTCTTTTATTTCAAGTGGACTGAACGCTGCGTCACAAGTATCTTGTAGAGAGCCTGCAAAGAACTCTGGTCTGCAATTGTAACGTCTATAAAAACATGAAGCAAATGACTCAATAGCATTAGCGTCGTTTTGGTATTGTGTTGGAACTGGAATAAACACAAGCAAACTTTTATTTCTTAAATAAGGAGTAGACATCAATATACTTGGACTAAGATTATCAAAAAGAATTTCATCGACATTAACATCATCACTCGTCGTTGTATCATCATCCTATGGAATTACAGTAAGACAGATATGTACGTAGTTATCTTACATTCATAGGAACACTACCATTGCGCTTGTTTCTTAGAAGAAAATGTTGGAAATTTCAACCGTCGCTGTAATATAGTGTATGTTCCTCATATAGTGGGTTTTTTCCTTAGAAAAGTTAACATTATTTTTTATGCCTTTTGCGTTTTCTTTTACCGTCTGTCGCTATCCACACGCGTAAATGTGTTTTTTTTCTCCCGAGTACTCTACGGCTTTCTTCCTACGCGTGAAGTGCTATTATCATTCATCGTGGTTTGCTTCTCAATACCTTTTACTGAACACATCATGTTTAAATTCCAACCAACACCCTATATGATCTTCTTTGTTATGATTCTGAATAAATTAAGATTTAATTTTATTCATTCTTGAGACAGAGAAGCTATGCGAATGAAACGCCGTACAAGCGGTTCATTTTTCAAACTACGTCGCTCAGTATTGTCTAAATTCTTTCGATAGATTTTGTATCGAATGTGTTGCCGTTCTCTCCAAGTTACGTCCATGCGAAAAAGATACTTCAATACGTCGAGCACGACGATAAAACCAGCAGCGATTGAAATGATGAGAATAGTAATGAATGTAAAACTTTTAGTAACATATTGACGGACGATCACATGTGTTTCAATTGTTTCGCAATGCCGCCCAGAAATACCCGAAAAACATTCACATTTGTAATCAAGTAACAATGGCCGACAAACACCGTTATCCATACATGTAATATTTGTACAATAGTTAATCGCGTTTTGACAGTGATCACCTGTGTATCCTTGACTACAGTTACAGAAGAAACTTGTCAAATTCATTTCGATGCATTTACCTAAATTAGAGAATGAGATATTCGATAATTTGTCATCAAAACAGACTGTTGTAAAGACAAGTATCTGGTCTACAGATTTGATAATCGTATTCACAATTGCTGCCATTAAAGTTTGATAAACAACGACAGGAATATCCACCTGTCAGACTGGAATTTTCGATACATGTTCCATTATTCTCGCAAGGTTGAGTATTGCATAAATTCACTGATATATTGCAAAAACTTCCGACATAACTTGAGTTACACTGAGGAGGAGCGAACGGGATAGGTGGTAATATACCTGTTGAATATAGATTACATGGATCACCGTTAATTATTACTTTCACCTACTTAAATACGTGGTTGTCGACGCAGGTGAAGTACTTGAAGCTATAGAACAAAAGGATATTTGATTCACTTGCGATATAAAAATTACCTGAAACAGACGAAGATGAACATCCAGTTGACGAAGTTAAATATGCTACAATCGTAGAATCCATCTCAAGCAACCATACATTGCTGACCCATTTCCACCATCCAAAATATTGATTTTTTTGATAAATGATTCTGTTCCAATACGCCAGTTGTATAACATTTGATGTCGATGTAAGTGCTTGTCCATTCATCTCGACTTTCCCATTGAGACGAATACCCCATTTGTCATTATTTTTATCAATAATAACATTATTAGTTCCAACGAGAACAACCGCACCATTACAGGATTCTCCATTTACTGAACGGACAAAGGATTCACTAATACTAATCTGTATTATAAATGCATATACAAGCTTACCAAGAAGATCTCCACGAAAATAGAGATAGACAATAACGAGTAACTTGGTGTAGGAAGTTGACATTGATCGGAATTGAGATTTTTTGAATGGAACGAGAGAATGAATATTATGAGCTTCTCTCCGTGAATGCACTCTAATCAAAGGTTGATTGAACATTGTCAGGACTCTGCACTCATAGCATGTAGAGGTACGATGTTTGTTGACATGATCTTTTCAAACGAGAAGTTATGGTTTTTCCTTATTCAATGAATAAATATTACGGCAACAGAAGTTTTCATTCTTTTTATTCTATACGCGTAGAAAACAATCTATAGTTAAATATTAGCGAGCACGTGAACAAACAAATCTCGTTGCTTGCACAAACTTATTCAATAGTTTATTTTTCGCAACAATAATCACAGAATTAACAAACCAATAGGTAATATACGGACATCGGAGATTTAGGTTGTAATTAATCGTTTCAATTAGCTCAGCAATTGATAGTCGTCAGAAATGTAGTTTCCCCTCTTTTGATAGAACTCGACAAGAGTGATTTCACAGAACGCTATCTTCAAGACGAGCTAAATCGCTATTGTTCAAGTCAAGAAAATCAGCCTATTGACTGTATTGACATTTAACATTACACGAGAAGATTTATAGTACGAAATACCAATATGTTACAGCTAAGATCCCGGTTCAACAAGTACTAGACATTGCTGAAACCAATGCCCATTTACCAATGGTTGATGCCTGTCGGAAATGCATCTCGTTCATATGTGAAAGTTATGGACGATACAAACATGACAAAACGAAACTCGAAGTCCTCAACATTATGTTCGTGCTGTGACCAACAAAAAGAAATAATGATAAGAGAAATAAGCGTATGTAGAAGAAATAACGATTGAATTATGTAATTATTCGGGTATTCAGACCACTAGCAATGCCAATTTCGTTGAGTTGACCTCGTATTCAATGTGTATGTATGCTTATCGATTGTACATACGCTTTCTTGTTTTGTTAACATTGCATATGCACGAAATCCAACGATTACCAAAAAACACTTGAAAAAGGTATAAGATCTCATGTTTGTTCTTCAACAAACTAAGCGATAGAAACATCACTTTTTTCCCATAACTACTTGAATAGGTTGCCATGCGCACAGATATATATCATACAGCATATTATTTCAGCCCCTTACATAGTGTCACTAGATCAGGTTGCCATTTCTAGAAGACGATGATGAATTAATGCAAAAGAATGAAAATGCAGCAACATTTGATTTCAAACTGATTGGATGAGACAAAAGAATCGAGCAGTATTCTTACAAATATTCTGATAAAAGCATTGCATTGAGGAATAGATTTAATCCAAGAGAAAAACAATAATTGAGAGCTACTTTTATATCAACCGTGCTAAATTGCAATTAATTATAAAAATATTCTTGGGATTGACTATACATTACAAGGCATATGTTCGAGCGTTTTTGTCACTCACGATTGGTTCCTTTATAACTCGATCATAGAATGGCCAGAACTTGATCTACGTATAGATTTTCAACAAACAGCTAAATTTCTCTTTAAAATATTACACGCACTTTGGGACTTGGCTAATCAAACTATCCTGAGCAATTTAAATTAAATCAATATGTTAGCGCAACCATGATATCTCTGATGCTGTTTGAAACATCCGTTGATAAATTTGTTCGTCAGCTCCTCTCATTAATAACAAGCAATTTTCTTCTTCTACTCGACATTGTACGATCATCAACGCATAGTAATACGCTCTTTACAGCTCTACAAACAAACTACTATCTGGAATACGACTTTAATAAAACGTCTCATCGTAGAGAGTTCCTACAATATTCCAGATGTTCTTGCAAAACATCAGAAAAATGCATTACACAACATATAATCTCTAACAATGCGAATTTACCGTTCTTAATGACTATGCCGGGCCTTTACCATGGATGTTACAATGTGGAAGTGCTTCTTCGACCGTCCCTCGAATGTTTCTATAATCAAGGATGCAGGCAACACCTGCAATCATACTTGAACTCTTCTCTTCTCACTAGTGTTCCATCTCTCAATGCATCAGCCTTATCGTAGAACAAGTGCTCAGTTAACTCAACTATCGAACAATTCTTTCACGCGCTTTCCATTGATTAATGGAACGTGATGAAGAAATAGAACAGTTATTGTAATTCCTGTCAGCCTATCGAATGCATCTATATTCATGAAGCAAAACGTGGTATAGACTATATTACAACAACATTGTTTAGTCTTGCAGGTAGGACGATAACTGTGCTGAAAACCACTGTAAGAGTACTTGTCAGGGTTGTTGTATGGATTTTTGAGAAATGTCGACGACGGGTGCATCCGTGAATATCAACTGATCGTCACAAGTGCCCTTACAGAGAGTGAATCGACTTGCTTCGCTTCGCTTCTTAACCAGTAATAAAAATCAGTTTCAAATGGATCACGCTTTTTAATTGGTTCATTAGTAGATTTGTCTGGAAGTGTACATTTCAAGTGACTCGTTGACCAAAACCTCAGTCAGTTGCTGATTGCCGTGCTGAAAAGGCACATGGATACTGCCTATTTTTGGTATAGGTGCACCTAAATAATCAGTATCTATTAATTTATAAGTGTTTTCAACCTTACGCTCTAATCATTCCCAGTGAACTGTGTATTTTAGCGGACTTACCGAGATAATATTATTGGCAATTCTTTTACATTTGTGGTAAAAAAAGTCTATCTCTTAAAAATTTGATGAAAAAGCGAGACGTTGCTTTCTACTTCAGTTCGTCTCGTTTTAGGTTCTGATATCCAACGTATTTAGCCATAATGCGGACAATAAACATTTACAAATACTGGACTATTTCTATGAAGAGTTGCAAACACGTCATACATTGTTTATGCTTAACAGATCTAGATTTTGAAAATCAGAAGAAATAACCTTCACATTGACGAAGTACATGTCAGTATAAAACAAAAAACATGATTAGAAGCAAATGTTCCTGAGCGCAGGTCATCTTAGCACAGTGTGTTTATTGTGCATGAAAAAAATGGATAAAAGTGATTAAAGCAAACAGAAAAAAGCTCTTTGTTTTGAGAGCTTTCTTTCATTAGCTGCGAAAGAAATCAAAGTGAAAATTCTGTTGTTGATACTCGAAAATTAAATATTTTCATAATACGCAAATCGAACGCACTTTTTTTCACTAGAATACTTACAGGTAAGATTGATTCACCAACGCGTATAAACAGACGAGCATACAAGTCAGTTTTCATTTCATATTGTTTCAATCGAAACAACAGTTATATACTAATACTATGGTACAAACTGCGTGTCTCGCGTTGTTCCTATTGTGCATGTCATACGGCATAATCGATGGAACACATTTTCGTGGTGGTATTATTTCATGGTACGTCTCATTCACTATTGTCTTATTACCATCCGTTTGTTATTTCTTTTCCTTTTAGGCGTCCGTTGAATAGTACACCATCGGGTAGTAATGCGGATATTCTCATACATCAACGATACTTTTTTGATCGACAAGCGGGCTATTTTGGTGGTCCACCTTATTGTACGGAGGCATATGTCACTGCTCAAACAACTATTCCAGTCGGTGGTACGATGAGCTGTATGGCAAATTGCTCAAGTTCTACTTATTCCGGACTTTCGATTGCTGTGCAAACTACAGATTGTAACACGCTTCCAATTATTTCATCATGGGGTGGTGAACGTTACGATTTAGTATCATTGCCATTGACAACATCGATTGCAATGGGCTTTGCCGGAAGTGCATGGTTGACTGCTCTGTATGGCGGTGGTTCTGGTTGGTCAGTTGTTAANGTAACATCGCTTTACGTGCAAGACCTATTTTGTTTTCATCTTGCATCGAGCCACTACAGTCGATTACAAATAGAAATTCATCAGTTGTGTTGTCCTTGTTCTGTCGACAATCCTGTTCATTTGGCATGAATGAAATCATCAGAGCGCTCTTTTCAACAGCAGCAATTATACTTGTTTTCGTTTGTGATAATTCAACATCGATAATAATATCACGACTAAAATGCAACACGCACTTATTTTTAGAAAAGGAGATGTTTTCTTTGCAACTGGTAACTTACTCTAGTTGAGCTGCTTGTTGGCTGAACTGAATAAGAAAATTGTCGGGATTGCTCATGTCGATTTTGATCGGATGCGATGGTGATGAAACGCCACTGACATTTTGAGCTAATCGATCCACACGACATTGTAAATCGATGGTATAAGGAACTGATTCAGCGTATTGAGCTTGAGTTCCGCCTGGTGATGAAATACCTTTGCGTTCAGGAGAATAACGTGGTGCAATTGTAGTAGGAATGACAAAACGAATGATTGGCTTTTCATTTCCATGCAAAAGGTCAAGTTCGCTGACGTAACTAATAGTAATACGACATTTACTCTTTGGTTTCAGTCTACAATGGAATTGAAGAAGGTTAATATGTAATGCGATGTCTCGAAAGATACGTACGCTCCTACACTAACAATGAATATATCGTTAGAAGCTTCATCTTGCTCAAGCAGGTAAGCACCATGGCCTGAAGCCAATGCTTCTGAATACTCTTGTTGTGCTACTTTCTTTTCTTTCAATTCGGCAATGATTTCACGTTCGTCATCTATGTGAGCCATGAACGCATAGATGGCAGCATTTTCTTCAACTGGAAAACTGAAAAGCAAGAGAATATTGTTGCTATGATCAACTTGTTTTTCTGTTACCAGTAGACCGCTTCAATTGGCACGGATTCGTCATTTTGAAACAATTGAGTGATGGTGACATCGGCAGCGAACGAATTTATGTGAACATCGACAGAGACTTCTCGTAAAGGAACTAGTTCTTTCGAAATTGATGAAGAAGCGTTCTCCTTTTTAATGTAAAGCATTGCTATACTTTTGACGTTGTGTTCTGTAATATTTAGGATCTATTAGTCTTTTATAGGGTAGGTGAGAAACAGAAAATTGTATGAGTCATCAAGGTAGCTGCGTGTCAAAGAAAAAAATGTCGATGAATCATCGCAAACGTGTATATTACCATGAGATTGTGCAAGTATGGGAAAAAATTACTCACATGCGGCTGGGGATAGTTTTATTAAAATAAATCGCAATACCTGACTGACTCAACACTGATTCATCATACACTGGGTAGTATTATCTGTTACAATTTTTATGAGATAAAGCGACGTTATATTGTTTTAATATTTACATCGCCAAACGTGTCATAAATTATTATTCTCCATCGTTTATAACTTCTATATTTGTAGATCGATCAATCATTCCGTACGTTTTACGCTATCAGCGACATTGAACAGTCAGTTTTTATTTATTTTAAAATAATTTATATGAAAGACTGTGCACTCTTCATTTTTTTCTGATTCAATGACAAGCAAACACTTTCGTTTATTTCACAATGACACGATCAGAAGCAATTGTATACACCCATTACTATGCGACTGTCGCGATGTGTTCGATTGTTGGCAGGGTAGAATAGATGCACGACAAAAGAGAATGTTGCTGATGTAACAAATTACTGTTTACATATATACACCTATACTCTGTTGAAAAGTAGAAAGAGCGATGAAAGTAGCTTACTTGTTGATCAGAAGTACTCTAACTCAATTGTTAGTAGTAGTCATTTACTCTTTCACTCGCAAAAGATTGACACTATTCATCAGATGTCCGTGTCGAATTCTGTGCCGCATCGCTTTGCTGTGCCTAGAAGAGTAGGACAATGGTCGATTGAACAATTCTAGCACTCACTGTCGCTCTGATTTAGGTGCCAAACGCAACCTATACTTACGCACGCCCAACGATAGTGTCAGTTCCTCAGCCACTACAACCGCCACTAACGAGGATAGCTTATATTAACATACTTCCAAGAGCGGTGCCAAGTGTTCACTCACCACCGGAACTTTCTGTTTCGCCTACGCTCTCTATATCGAAAGAAGCATTCATTGCCAAGGACGGCCTTTCAGAAACCGATTCATTTTGGACACGATGCTATGCGAAGTAAGCCATTTCTGTTTAGCAGCATCAAAGAAAATCTCTTGGGCGTGTTTCAGATGCGGTCTTTTTTGTTGCATGCCATGGTGTTGGACTATTTCAGCAGTAATCTTAGGTGGTGCCATTGGAACGATCATATTTTTTGCACTACAAAACAGTAAGCTAAAAATAAAAATACCTTGTAATTGCTCCACATGTTTGATTATAATTAGCCGCTACGGTAACAACCGGAACACCAACGACAACCATCAGCAAGACGACCATCTATGTGCCAAGTCGTAAGTTCTTTCGCAAGAAAAACAAAAGGAAATTCTCTTAAAATTTTTATCTAGCGATATTGAACAATACCTGCACATCGGTAGTCAGTGATTCACCTACTGTTCTAGTGTACCTCACAAACTCAACGTCGTTCTCCTATACGTTCTATCAATATACATATGTCGCTGCATCGACGATGACAACTATGATGTTAGCTATGCGTCAAAATCCTAGTTACTGGTGTCTCGATGATATTTCTGTAACCTACAATGGCGTACAAATGTGGCAAAATGGCGGTTTTGAATTGAGCCCGTTAACTAAATATTATACTTATTGTAATCCAAACGGGGCAGCTTCCAGCGGTAGTATATCACCATCATGTCCCAGATCTGGAAGCTATAGTTTTAAAGACGGTTCAGTAACATATTCCGATTATATCAGTCAATCGTTTTCCACGGTAGTTGGTGGAATGTACAATATCAGTTTCTGGTTATCGAACTTAGGTGCTCCTACGAATAGTTTTATTATCATCATCGGTTAATGGACAGTTCTTGAACGTGACTGCTATAGAAGCAAATATACTCGATGATCAAACACAATGTTTATGATTCTTGTTTTATTGTTTGAATATTTTGAAAAATACTACTGAAATATAACTCGAAATTTGATTGTGTGCCGCACGTCTCGTAGTCTTTCCTGAATGGTTGCTATCGTAACCAACGGGTGCACCATTTCTCCTTTTACTCGTAGCACGATGGTATTCAGTTGTCGACAACAATGCATTACTTGTTGCCATTGATACCAATCTAGCAATTGTACTGCTTCAGCTTCGTTAACTACTAATTCAACATGTCGAAGATTGCACATGTTGCTAATCAGCTCAATTAGCGTTCTCCACAAGCACGACTGATAAGATCGTCGGCAACTGTCTGAATCTGGATTTGTATAATGATCAATTTCAAGTAAAAAGCGTTTGATTGTAATGTTTCGTGTGTCTTCTGTAGGGTTTGGAAGACTCCAACCATGTTTACATTTTGACTGGGTGCAATGTATTTCAAACTTTTTTACCGAGTTTGAAATGTGCCCGAAAATGTAATGGAATGCATACAAATTGACCTCATCGGTGTACCGAAGTGACAGGCGACTTAGATCAGGAAAAAAGGCATTCCATTGTTCGATTTCTTTTATTGACTTAAGGTTGTCCAACGTTAGTGAAAGGACATTAGGAAGCATCGCCAAAGTGTTCGATATTTTCGTTATTGGAAACGTACTCGCATCAAAATGTACGGATGCGATTTGTTTTGGCCTGAGCTGCCGAAAAATCATATTAATAACACTCGTCGAAGGATTCGATAACTGCACTTTCATGTTGATTTCCGACAGTGTCGAAAGAATACTATCGTGGAAAGTGTTAATCATATCGTTGAGTGTCAAATATTGACAAATTTCCAAAATGACATCCCAGCAGAGATCATGTTGCTCGCGAAGGTCAAATGCCTACAAACGAAATAGATACCGGAGTATGCATCAAAGAAGTGGGAAAGCTTTTCTATTTTGACCCACCAAGTCTTGTTCGTTCTTGTCAAATTTGTCTTTAAATTCGAGCAATTTGCGATATAAAATTTCACGAATCGCGGTATAATCAATTCCTACTACTGTATTATTTTTAATCATTTCTTCGAATACGTATTGTGACTGTCGGTACCAATGTTTGTTTGATGCTAGCCGTCGTGTAATACCAATAAACATAGGACATTTTTCCTTAGAAAAATCAAGCAACAATTCCGTCGGAAAGATCTCTTTCCACACTTGTACCAACCTATTTCAAGTATCATAGTCACGATCAAACTATTCTTAATGAATATTTACTTGTTGCGATTGCCTTCGATAGTGATATCCCAAGGCCATACGAGATAATTTTCCAATAAGTAATCAATGATTATTTCTGAACAGAAGACTTTTTTGCAAATCATATTGATCGTGTCGTTTTTGTCATGGTGAATGTAGACTAGTACTGGACGACGCTAAAAAGGAAGAAAACTGTTTTCTTAAGTGTGATAGCTAGACAAGCAGACGTCTTTTATTTCAAGTGGACTGAACGCTGCGTCACAAGTATCTTGNCAGAAGACTTTTTTGCAAATCATATTGATCGTGTCGTTTTTGTCATGGTGAATGTAGACTAGTACTGGACGACGCTAAAAAGGAAGAAAACTGTTTTCTTAAGTGTGATAGCTAGACAAGCAGACGTCTTTTATTTCAAGTGGACTGAACGCTGCGTCACAAGTATCTTGTAGAGAGCCTGGAAAGAACTCTGGTCTGCAATTGTAACGTCTATAAAAACATGAAGCAAATGACTCAATAGCATTAGCGTCGTTTTGGTATTGTGTTGGTACTAGAATAAACATAAACAAACTTTTACTTCTTAAATAAGGAGTAGACATCAACCTACTTGGACTAAGATTATCAAAAAAATTTCGTCGACATTAACATCATCACTCGTCGTTGTATCATTATCCTACGGAATTACAGTAAGACAGATACGTACGTACGTCGTTATTTTATATTCATAGAAACATTACCATTGTGCTCGTTTCTTAGAAAAACATGTTGGAAATTTAAACCGCCGCTGATGTAATATAGTGTATGTTCCTCATATAGTGGGTTTTTTTCTTGGAAATGATGACATCATTTTTATGCCTTTTGCGTTCTCTTTTACCGTCTGTCGCTATCGACACGCGTAAATGTGTTTTTTCTCCCGAGTACTCTACGGCTTTCTTCCTATGCGTGAAGTGCTATCATCATTCATCGTAGTTTGCTTCTCAATACTTTTTACTGCACAGATCATGTTTTTATTCCAACCAACACTCTATATAATCTTTTTTTTTTATGATTCTGAATAAATTAAGATTTGATTTTATTCATTCTTGAGACAGAAGCTATACGAATGAACCGTCGTACAAGCGGTTCATTTTTCAAACTACGTCGCTCAACATCGTCTAAAGTCTTTCGATAGGTTTTGTATCGAATCTGTTGCCGTTCTTTCCAAGTTACGTCCATGCGGAAAAGATACTTCAATACGTCGAGAACGACGATAAAACCAGCAGCGATTGAAATGGCGAGAATAGAAATAAACATAAAACTTTTAGCAACATATTGACGGACGATCACATGTGTTTCAATTGTTTCGCAATGCCGCCCAGAAATACCCGAAAAACATTCACATTTGTAATCAAGTAACAATGGCCGACAAACACCATTATTCATACATGTAACATTTGTACAATAGTTAATCGCGCTTTGACAGTGATCACCTGTATATCCTTGACTACAGTTACAGAAGAAACTTGTCAAATTCATTTCGATGCATCTACCTAAAGTAGAGAATGGAGTATTCGATAATTTGTCGTCAAAACAGACTGTTGTAAAGACAAGTATCTGGTCTACAGATTTGATGATCGTATTCACAATTGCTACCATTAAAATTTGATAAACAACGACAGAAATATCCGCTTGTCAGACTAGAGTTTTTGATACATGTTCCATTATTCTCGCAAGGTTGAGTATTGCATAAGTTCACTGAAATATTGCAAAAGCTTCCGACATAACTTGAGTTACACTGGCTGGGAGTGAACGGGATACGCGGTGATGTACCTGTTGAGTATAGATTACATGGATCATCGTTAATTATTACTTGCACCTACTTGAATACGTGGTTGTCGACGCAGGTGAAGTACTTGAAGCTATAGAAGAAAAGGATATTTGATTCAATTACGATATAAGAATTACCTGAAACAGACGAAGATGAACATCCACTTGACGAAGTTAAATATGCTATAATCGTAGAATTCAACTCAGGCCACCATGTATTACTGACCCATTTCCACCATACAAGATATTGATTTTCTTGATAAATGATCCTGTTCCAATACACCAATCGTATAACATTTGATGTCAACCCAAGTACTTTTCCATTTATCTCGATTTTCCCATTAAGACGAATACCCCATTGGTCATTATTTTTATCAGTAATAACATCTTTAGTTCCAACGAGAACAACCGCACCATTACAGGATTCTCCATTTACTGAACGGACAAAGGATTCACTAATACTAATCTATATTATAAATGTATATACAAGCTTACCAAGAAGATCTCCATGAAAATAGAGACAGACAATTACGAGTAACTGAGTGCAAGAAGTTGACATTGATCTGAGTTAATATTTTTTGAATGGAACGAGAGAATAGATACTACGAGCTTCTCTCCGCGAATACACTCTAATCAAATATTGATTGAAAATTGTCAGGAATCTGCACTCATAGCATGTAAAGATACGATGTTTTTTAGCATGGTCTTTTCAAACGAGAAATTAAGTTTTTTTTTCTTATTCAATGAATAAATATTACGGCAACAGAAGTTTTTATTCTTTTTATTCTATACGCGTAGAAAACCATCTATAGTTAAATATTAGCGAGCACGTGAACAAACAAATAGGTAATATACGGACATCGGAGAATTAGGTTGTAATTAATCGTTTCAATTAGCTCAACAATTGATAGTCGTCGGAAATGCAGTTTCCCCTCTTTTGATAGAAATCGACAAGAGTGATTTCGCAGAACGCTATCTTCAAGACGAGCTAAATCGCTATTGCTCAAGTCAAGAAAATCAGCCTATTGAGTGTATGGACATTTACCATTACACGAGAAGATTTATAGTACGAAATCCAATATGCTACAGCTAAGATCCTGGTTCAACAAGTACTAGACATTGCTGAAATCAATCCCCATTTACCAATGGTTGATGCCTGTCAGAAATTCATCTCGTTCATATGTGAAAATATGAATGATACAAACATCACAAAACGAAACTCGAAGTCCTCAACATTGTGTTCGTGCTGTGACCAACAAAAAGAAATAATGATAAGAGAAATAAGCGTATGTGGAACGAGTAACGGTTGAATTATGTAATTATTTGGGTATTCAAACCACTAGCAATGCCAATTTCGCTGATTTGATCACGTATTCAATGTGTATGTATGCTTATCGATTGCACATGCTCTTTCTTGTTTTGTTAATACTGCATGTGCATGAAATCGAACATTACCGAAAAATATTTGAAAAAGGTATAAGATCTCAAATTCCTCAACAAACTAAGCGATAGAAACATCACTTTTTTCCCCATAACTACTTGAATAGGTTGCCATTTCTAGAAGATGAGGCTGGATTAATGCAAAAGAATGAAAATGCAGCAACATTTGGTTTCAAACTGATTGGATGAGACAAAAGAATCGAGCAGTATTCTGATGAAAACATTGCATTGAGGAATAGATTTAATCCACGAGAAAAACAATGATTGTGATCTTTTACGATCTGTATCGTCTTCAATTGGAGAACATGAATTTCAAAATTAACGTATACCAACAAGATTATTCATTTTCTTATTCATCTTATCATCGACGATGCTTCTCCTGTACAATTCCTTTATTATTTTTATGTAAATAGACACTTCGAAAAGCCCGACTTTCAATGAGTACTACCAACCATTCCGATTATATTCCGACGCATTCTCGTATCCATGCAAGAAAATTGCAATTAATTATAAAAATATTCTTTGGGATTGACTATACATTGCAAGGCGTATGTTCCCTTGATCGATATATAGATTTTCGACAAACAGCTAAATTTCTCTTTTAAAGATTACACACACTTTGGGACTTGGCTAATCAAATCAATATGTTACCGCAACCATGGCATCCTTGATGCTGTTTGAAACGCCCATTGATAACAAGCAATTTCCTTCTTTTATTCGACGTTGTACGATCATCAACGCACAGTAATACGCTCTTGACAGCTCTACAAACAAACTACTATCTGGAATACGACTTTAACAAAACGTCTCATCGTAGAGAGCCGCTACAATATTCCAAATGTTCTTGCAAAACATCTGGCAAATGCACCACGCAACATATAATCTCTAACAATACGAGTTTACCGCTCAGAATGACTATACCGGGCATTTGCTGTGGGTGTTATAATTTGGAAGTGCTTCCTCGACCGTCTCTCGAATGTTTCTATAATCAAGGATGCATGCAACACCTGCCATCATACTTAAAATATTCTCTTCTCACTACGTTTCATCTCTCAACGCATCACCCTTATCATCAAACAAGTGCTCAGTTAACTCAACTATCGAACAATTCTTTCACGATCGAACTTTTCATTAATCAATAGATCGTGATGAAGAAATAATACTGGTGTTATTGTAATCCGTGTCAGCCTATCGAAAACATTCATAAATACTAGAATATTTCTATGAATAGTTGCAAACACATCGCACACTGTTATGTTTAACAAAGCTAGATTTTGAAAATCAGAAGAAATAACCTTCACATTGACGAAGTACATGTCAGTGTAAAACAAAAAAAGATGATTAGAAACAAGTGTTCCTGAACGCAGGTCATCTGTGGTACAGTGTGTTTATTGTGCATGAAAAAAAAATGGGTGGAAGTGATTAAAGCAAACAGAAAAAAGCTCTTTGTTTTGAGAGCTTTCTTTCATTAGTTGCGAAAGAAATCAAAGTGAAAATTCTGTTGTTGATACTCGAAAATTAAATATTTTCATAATACGCAAAACGAACGCACTTTTTCAGTTGAATGCTTACAGGTAAGATTGATTCACCTACGCATATAAAAAGGCGAGCATACAACTCAGTTTTCATTTCGTATAGTTTCAATCGAAACAACAGTTATACACTAGTACTATGGTACAAACTGCGTGTCTTGTGTTGTTCCTATTGTGCATGTCATATAGCATAATCGATGGCTCACATTTTCGTGGTGGTATTATTTCATGGTACGTCTCATTCACTATATTGTCTTATTACCATCCGTTTGTTATTTCTTTTCTTTTTAGGCGCCCGTTGAATAGTACACCATCGGGTAGCAGTGCGGATATTCTCATACATCAACGATACTTTTTTGATCGAAGAGCGGCCTATTTCGGTGGTGCACCTTATTGTACGGAGGCAGATGTTACTGCTCAAACAACCATTCCGGTCGGTGGTACGATGAGCTGTATGGCAAATTGCTCAAGCTCTACTTATTCTGGACTTTCGATTGCTGTACAAACTACAGATTGTAACACGCTTCCAATTATTTCATCGTGGGGTGGTGAACGATACGACTTAGTATCATTGCCGTTGACAACATCGATTGCAATGGGCTTTGCCGGAAGTGCATGGTTGAGTGCTCTGTATGGCGGTGGTAATGGTTGGTCAGTTGTTAATCGATTGAACTTAGGTTTGAGACCCGATGGTTTTATCAATAGTAGTCCAGTGACAACGACGTTACCGGTGGTGTTTTATCCAATAAACACGCGAATTACTCATATTATACAAATGGCAGATAATGATGGTACTGACATATTACAATGTCGCTGGTCTAATTCAAATAGTGGAAGCAATTACAATCGAGCAGATGAATGTTCAGGTGTTTGCAGTGCATTGCCACCTGGATATGTCTTAACTGGATCCAATTGTACTGTTTCTTTCACTCTGCCAACTGCTAATCTATATTATGCATGCTCCGTTCAAATTGAAGATTATTATAACAGTGCTGCTACAAGTCCAATGAGCTCTGTTCCAATCGTCTTTTTATTCTATGGATATGTAGCTTCTAGTACTGCATGTTCACAACGTCCTCAAATCATTGGTGTACGACCAAACCGAGGTATGAACTAAGCTGAAATACTCATTAACTCTATTATTTCTTTTCATTTATTTTATTCTATAGCCTGTATTGGTGTTCCAATTGGTAAGTTTAGCTAATGAAGATTTTTTTTNTCCACCTTATTGTACGGAGGCATATGTCACTGCTCAAACAACTATTCCAGTCGGTGGTACGATGAGCTGTATGGCAAATTGCTCAAGTTCTACTTATTCCGGACTTTCGATTGCTGTGCAAACTACAGATTGTAACACGCTTCCAATTATTTCATCATGGGGTGGTGAACGTTACGATTTAGTATCATTGCCATTGACAACATCGATTGCAATGGGCTTTGCCGGAAGTGCATGGTTGACTGCTCTGTATGGCGGTGGTTCTGGTTGGTCAGTTGTTAATCGACTGAACTTAGGTTTGAGACCCGATGGTTTTATCAATAGTAGTCCAGTGACAACGACACTACCGGTAGTATTTTATCCTATAGCCACACGAATTACTCATATTATACAAATGGCAGATAATGATGGCACTGACATATTACAATGTCGTTGGTCTACTTCAAATAGTGGAACTAATTACAATCGAGCAGATGAATGCTCAGGTGTTTGCAGTGCATTGCCAACTGGATATGTCTTAACTGGATCCAATTGTACAGTGTCTTTCACTCTACCAACTGCTAACCTGTACTATGCGTGCTCCATTCAAATTGAAGATTACTATAATAGTGCTGCTACAAGTCCAATGAGTTCTGTTCCAATCGTATTTTTATTCTACGGATATGTAGCTTCTGGTACTGCATGTTCACAACGGCCTCAAATCATTGGTGTACGACCAAATCGAGGTATGAACTAAAACTGAAATACTCATTAATTCTATTATTTCTTTGCATTTATTTTATTCTATAGCCTGTATTGGTGTTCCAATTGGTCAGTATCGCTAATGAAGATATTTTGTCTTTGTTCTAATCGCTTGAATTTCTATTTCAGGTGTTCAACTGAATGAAACAATAATTGTTGAAACATTTTGTCCCAACCAAGCTATTGTTGATTTCGTTACTAGTTCACCACTTGGAATGCAGCATAGCACCATTCTTAACCCAAGTGCTAGTACGTAATCAACCTTAAACAATAAGAATGGAAAAGCTTTGGAATCTAAAATTTGAAAAAATATTTTAGATACATGGACAATGGTGTTGACATGGACACCACAAGCGTCACAAGCTGGTCCGCAAGGTTTTTGTGCTGGTGCCGTCGACAATAGTAGTTTACAATCAGATCCATGGTGTATAACATATCTAGTTGACTATACATCACCAAACATCATCCGTCCTACAGTTGTCCAAGGATCTGCAAGTCCAGTCGGCACTGTCTTTGCAAATCAATCAATGTTTTCCATTCAAGGTGAGTCGGTTTGGTTGAGTTTGTGCGTTAATCGTTCATAATGGTTCTATTTTAGCAACAAGTTTAGTTGGTCGTCCAACTCGTAATAACACAAACGTTTGCTTTCGTAATGCTACTTCGAACGCATCAGTTCTATGTTACGATGCTGGATATTCACCGAATGTGATCTACACAGGATACACCATTGTTATTGTTACAAATATCACATGGACAGCCGGTGCATTCTACTATGTAACAATGGATAGTGGTTTTGCAAGTGGAAGTGTATTTTGTCGTAAGTTATTTGATTTTACGTGAAAACGAAATTAGTAGAATGACTTTGACTTGAAAAGATGCGGAGTCAGCACCGATCACAGATCCGACGTTTTGGGTATTCAATATTTGGAATCCGGCAGTTTCCAGCACGACCACAACGACGACGACACCCTTCACAACTGCAACAGTGACAACAAAACCAACATCAACAACCAGTATCAATACTCTTGTAAGTTCATGTGTATATCATTGATATCTCATATTCGTTTATCTATTGATATAACTAGTTGACAACAACTGGTATTGTTGTAACAACAACAACACCTATCACAACTAATGCAACAACGACAACTACATCACCTCCAACTACAGCTGGTGAGCAGGAATTTTTTACTATTGATACAATTTCAATTTTTCTTCTTTCTTTTTAGCTCCAACAACAGCAGGTCCAACGACATCAGGCGCAACAACTGAATCTACAGTTGCTGTGATGTACCCCAAAGATTTCGTAAGTTACTTATCCACTTTCAAGTATGACTAAACACATAAATCGATCGAATAGGAAGATGCTTGCAAACAAACTGTTGGCACTATGACAGCTGTCTTCTCAGTTGTATTGATGCCTGTTTATGCTTTAGCCATGTATGCTACATTCACCAAAGTGGCAAATACATTCAATCCTGTCAAGATTCAGGCCAATACTCGACACAAACTACGAATGAAACGCATTCTTCATTAATGGAAGAAAGAAAAATTTACATTTATCTTGAAAAACAGTTCGACATTTTCTTCCCTACATTTCTTTTATTTAGCTCTCCTTCCATAATGCACGTCCGCATCGTTTTCTCCGTGTGTGATTTTGATTAAAAATAAAATTTACCGATGTTGGTGATGTCACCCTATTTTTTATTCTCTTCGACAAACTACACCTACAGTTCCTCTATAGATAAATGACGAAGCGTGAAAATAAAAGTTTCCTCACTTGTTTCCTCCTTCCACCAGCAAACATTTTGATTTTTTCTGGTATATACGTATATTTATTCTTAGTTGATACTCTTATAGATCCGATTTCTGATAATCAAACGAGAATATAGCTGATGTCTTTTTATTCATTTTTCTCAACCTTTCAAGATTTGTTCAAATGCAATCGTTTGATTACTCTGGCTTGTATTTGTTTCATCAATTTTGTAAATTATTTACGGTAATGTCTTGATGAGAAAACAAATATGGTTAGAGTGAGCATGGGAGGAATAAGTGAGAGGAAATATCCCATCAAAGACAACCAGACATCATTGGCCAATTTCATACAAGTCGAAATAAATGAAAAGAACAAACGTGGTGCTACTAACTGACGAGAATAATTGGTGCACCAAGCAGATGTTTACGCTCTCGAATCTGTGTAAACACTATTTGCTGATAAATCGGATCCGTGCGCATACAGTTTGACGTTGCCGTGCTGTCATCCTAATAATAATCAATACTAATATGACATTGATCGTAAACTAGGTTGATAACTGAACCGAACATCCATACTTGTGATGAGTAATTAACAATGCAACAAATCCATTCTTCCATTTCATTGTCATCATGTAATTTGATCGTTGAAACAACGTCAAATTTGTCGGTTGATATATTGTTTTTCATAAAACTTATGAACTATTTCAGTTAATGATGTATAATTATAGTCAGTTATATGTACGGAGTATTGGCATTGTGGATAGAATCTTGGCGATGTACAGTTGTAAAGCACACATCGTTGTTCATCGTTATGCGTCGCAGATTAGAATAGAATTCATGACGTTCAGTGGCATCAAGGGACGTCGACCAATGATACAACTGTTTGTAAGTCACATGCTGATCGTAGATCTAATCGCAAGTGATAACTCGACCGAATCTGTTGAGTGTAATATTCCATCCCAATGATGATTTTCAGTGTCATATGTTCGATCAGTGGGATCGAGATTGTTGTTCAGCCAAGCAACAAATAAATGTAATTATGATGATGAAATAGACTAAACTTTTGATCACGGGTACGATTTTGTAGGTTTTGAAGTCAGTTTAAATGATATTCAATGTAATACGTCAGCAAAATGATAAACTTTTTTTTTGCACATCAGTCTCGGTTATTTCTCTTATCGTATTATGTACGTTATAAATTTATAAATAGAAAGTCTCTCCACGAGTTGTCTATGACTTAATACGTAGATGAGAAATCTTTGTAATAAAGAACCGATATGATCATTTCTAAGATTTTCTACAAACGAGCAGAATGACAATACCTGCTAAACTGACGAACTCAAGCTGTGTGGAAAGTAGTATTAATGTCAGATTTGGAAGAAACTTCTTCGATCACGTTTATTTTAACTCGAACAAACATATTTAATGTCTTCAGAAAGTATAACTGTTTTGACCCATTGTAACATATTTCTTCTGGTATAAATCAGCTTTATAATGTCATTATTATTGCAAACGATCCGTATAACTACTGCAATGATTAAAATCAAATCTTCCTTTCAGAATATTGATTGGGGTCTATACCTTTGATTTAGTTACGAATTTTGCGAATAAAATTCAACTGGAAACAAAGGAAGAAACGTCATTCGTGTTTTATCAGCTAAAGCCACCTATATCGTATTTCTACAAATCGATGAAATTTATTTATTTAAAAGGCAAAAGTCGGGGTCAAGTACATTTGATTGTTAGGATGAAGCTATTGCCGCAAAAAATAATGTACTATGAAAATGTTCATTATCGTAACGAGAATTGAGTGTGCGAGTTGTTGTATAAAAAAGGCGACGTTATACATGGAATCTAAAAAGTAACCTTCAAACAGAAACACAAAAGAAGCAGACGAAACTCTCCGTACTGTAATTGAAAGTGGTGACAGAAAAATAGCTATTTTATGACCAGCATGCAGCCCGAATACGATTATGAAGATGAAAACGCATGTACTTATTATAAATATGATGAGACATTCAAGCGACACACTGACCATCTGCAGTGTAACCAGTGCAATAGTTACTAAGAATACGTTTGGTCAACATCGTTGTGTCCAACACAATCACCACGCATCTGAAAATGTCTTTATAAACGCGATCCTAGATCATCGACACCCTTGTGAAAGTTGGGACACGGCTGACTAGCAAGCCATTGAAAACGAATACCTTTTCATCCCTCGTACAAATCACACTGCCAGTGTGCGAAAAAATATTGGAAAATAGTTGTAATTAGTGTATACGTATTATGAGATATACGGACAAAAACCGATGTGTGATCAACTAGGTGTCAGAAAATACTGAGAAAAAGTCTCAATGTGTGTACATGTTTTGAGCGTAAGAAGTACATGATTATTGCAGATGTCGTCTTGAATTAATATCTCTCTCAATTATACAAACGGCGGACATGTGTCTATTAGTCGAAAATATTGATTGGATCACGTATGTAAAATGGGCAAAGAAGCCAATGTTCATTGTTCACTGATTGCCTATAAATATCGCATTCATCATATCAACGTTCGTTATCTGACAGACTACCAAGAAATCCTCCACGGTATGTCCTAAATCTGCAAATAAAATTGTTTTATATTCAGTTCTTTAGTATTACTTTGAATTATGAAAATCTCAATTTTCATTTTGTTTCTGGTTATTCTGAGCACTGTGACTATTGTCGGAATACCGCTATTATGTGATCTAAGAGGTTACATCCACAGATATCGTACAACGGCTGAAATTAAGGAAATGAATGCGGAAGATATACGGAATACGATCATCACTGAAGTACACAAAGCAACAAATTATTCTATTCCGGAAATTCAAGCGAAAGATAACTGTCAACTTCATCGAATGCTCGATCGTATAATCGAGCCTGGTTAAATTTTTCTTACGTGAAAAACGACACTTATGACGAACTCTTAATCATTGTTAAATAAAAATACAGATTAGGATAATAGAATGTCTATTCTTCTAGTACGATTTGCGCGTACACATTCGCCCGAAAACAGTTTTTCTTATTTAGTAGACAATCATAAAACGAATCCTTTTTGTGTTTTTTGCTATTGGTCGAAGTTTGTCGTTGCCAATTGTTGACAGATCAGTGCCGTAAGTCAAGCCTCTTCAGCGAACGATTACGCTCTATCAGAATGGCTACTGAATCGACGCTTTCATCATTGATATCAGTGCTTGCGCTTAAATTAAAAATTTCGAGATGTGTATCGTCGTATGCAAGCGCTTCTACTAATTTGTTCATGCCATGACTACTTATTTGACTCAGCTTTAAGAATAAGTCAAGTAACGTAGTGTTTATTTCGAGCGATTTTTCTAAATGTTCTACACCAGTATTACCTATATCGTCCACTCTCTACTATAAAGAGCAAATCTAGTTGATCGATCCATTTCGAAAGATTAGAAGCATGAATATGTTTAAAACAAGGATTAAATGGATTAACAATGTCTTCTACGCGGTGTCCATCCAGAAGTTTCCATCTTGAGGGTGTTGATTACTATGTTTGCTGAGTATGTAATCGCGCGAATCATTGACGCTCTCAAAGCAGGTAGAAGTGAGCTCGTCACAGCAGACCAGTTACCGCCACAACTTTGGTTGTATGTTGCAAAGAAAAATGTCATGAACCAGGGAACATCTGTCGAAGTGATCGATGCTGTTGGCCTTTCAGTCGGACAACAAAAAATCCTTTTGAAGGTTCAAAGTTCGTTTGGCAAAGACGAACAAAAGCAAGCACAGCCACGTCATCTCATTGGTTATGTGTCTGTTCTTAGTAGTAATGGTCACATCCTAACGAGATTCGACAAAATAGCTCTGCATGCCCAGACTTATGTCGATCAAATTAAGTATTGATGTTCCACATGAAGATATTCAACCGAAAATTCAATTTTATCAAGTATCGATCGAAGCAGAGGTCAATCAAAAGGCAGTTGCTAAAGAAATTCATCGATACTACGAGAAAACACGGCAAGAATTAAACGAGCAATTTCAAAATGTGCAACAGCACCTGGAAAAATTTGTGGATGATCGTTTGGGTGAAATTGAAAAGTGTAGAGAGGAAAAAAGCATGATCTGACTCATATATCGCCGTAGCACAATCAGGTCGAACTAGTGAAATAGCTCAGCAAACTGCACTTATTTGTGAGCGTCATTTAAAGCTAGTCGAACAGAAATCTCAAGACTCTCAGGAGACAATCCAAATTTGCGACACTACAATCAAGTAGAAAGTGATAGGGCGGTTGCTGAGGCGAAGCGAGCTGGAAATGCAGCAGCAGAAACATTGGACAAAGTCGAAAAAGTACTTAAACAAATGCAGAAAGAAACGAGAATGTGAAAATCAAGTAGCTATATTATACAAGAACGTTTACGAACACTGCCGTTTTTTATCAGTTATTTTCAAGATTTCATACAACTGCATCGTTAATTTGTCTTAGAATATTAAGTTTATATTCAAGAAAAAGTCGAGGTTGGTTGTTTTATGTTGCTTGTTTTTCGTTCTGTAATTTTTGTCTGTTCTCTAACCATGAATAATTTATAGACTTACATTCTTTCTTTTAAACTATAAACACATTGCGAAAGTTTTTTTGTCAGGAGAAGAAAAATACATCTCTGTTGCAAATGAAGGAAAAATAATCGAATGTTCTTCGTCACAATCTTACGTGCGTAGTTATGTAGTCGCGTAAAGAATGTATTTATATATGAAGTTTATTTGAAAGTTCTCTTTTCATTTCCGTATCTTAGCTAGTATTTAACTAGAAGATTGATAATGTCAAAATCAAAAGATTTCTTTTTCTTGAGCAGTATTTTGACTTTTTTTTCAGATTATTTCTGAGATTTTCTAGGTTTACTATCATTGACTCGTTGGCATTCACTGTAAACGAAGAAAATCCAAATATTTACGGTGAAGAATACGCGAGGAGCGACGAAAATACTTCGACTTTTGTATTTCTGAACATATGGATAAGAGAAAGGTAATTAATATATACTTAGCTAGGCTTTGCTTGATTAATAACTATATGTGAAGATTTTAAGAGAATTATTTCAATTCATGATACCGACTTTAACAGTGTTGATGCTCTGGAAGAGCTTTATGTTGTGTACGAATTGTCAATCTCCAATTGCTTTCATGACCGAGTTTGTTATTGTCATCCTTTTTTGCTTTTACATTAATGATCTGCTTCATCATAGAGATGCGAATGCAACTTCTCTTAGGCGTGGTGATCTTCTTTTAGTAACGAATTATGTTCAAGACTCCTTTCGTGCTGATGATCTCATATTATTGAACATAGAAAATGAAAAATATTTTGTGGCAGGTCGAATAGTCACAGTTTCAAAACAGTGAGTCACTTCCGTGAATCTCAAGAAGGAAAGTAATATTTTTTCTTGATTCTTCAATTCAGAAATGATGCTGGCATAACAATTACGTATCAAAGTGTATGTTCACAAACGGGTGAATGTCCATCGAAAGAATCCTTTATCGAGAAAAAGGATATTATTGGCAAAATAAGAGGGTAAGCAAATTCCTCGCTATTGCTTTCTGTCTATTATTTGTATAGACGTCTTCCATACATTGGACTGTTGATCATCTGGTTCAAAGGCTATTTTCTATACGGATGTATCATTTACATAATATTCACAGGAATCCAGCGTGAGGACAATACCGATCGTCGTAACACAAATCGATTATAAGAGCAAGCAACGATCAAAACAGAATTGAAAGACTATACGAGTGTCGATGTGAATTTTAGTTTTGCATCATGATCAAAGACTAAAGCTATAAGCTGAATTTTCATATTGAAGAATAACGAAGATGTTCGATGTAACTACTTACGAGTGTAATCGGAAAAATGATATTACGAATTATCGCACTCAAAACAAGTATTGAATTCCTTTTCGTTGAATGTTTTCAATTATAAAAAGCGTTGAAGAATTAAGTGATAGGACTACAATAAATCTGTTGAAAAGTTACGAAACAGGAAATGTCACGAAGGAAAGATTCGTGATAAAGCGTTCTCAGATGTTATAATGAAGTGTGCATATGTCAGATATCTTCGTAAGAAAAAAATTGGTAACATTGACTCATTTCTTCCATCGTTCTCATGCAACGCAGTGTCATGTTAATCATGAAAAGTTTAGAAGTGGAAGTTGAGAGAATTGCAGCAACGACAATGACGACATTTTCGCAAGAATGTCATATAGCCGTCAATCTGGTGCTTGTTTATAGAGCTCTTTCAATAAATGAAAATGGTTTGTTCCGAGTGTCGCATTCTAAATCTTAAATAAACATAAATACATTTCTCATTTTTACCAAGGAAGAAAGATTTATAAAACACGTGAAATTCTGTGTCAGGGAGTGAATGAATCATCACAAGGAAGTTGTCAAATCATTTCCAACAACAACAGAATTCTCAGAAGTATAAAAGCACCAAGTGAAATCGTAAAAGAAAAGGAAAAGTTTGAAATTAGTGATGGCACTTTTTCAACGAAATCAAATCGGTTTTAAAGAAGAGCAACATGGTACTGTAACACCAGCCAATGATCTTGCTCGACTTATGTATTATTTTAATTGTGTATGCTATGTCATTCAATACAATGATTCTGATGTTAGTCGACTTCGAAATTGCCATAATTGGGCATCTTTATCAGCTGCAGAGATTCGTCTTCTTCTTGCTCTCTGCTCGACGCTTTCGCCTGATGTTTTTAATAACAAGGTGTTCTTTCAGTCGGATGCTTTATGTGGCAGCAGCCAAAACAAATTCTTTGAAATAAGTCAAGTTAGTAATCAGTTATTAGCTGTCGATTCCATTATCATCGCTGGTCGACGATATCGAGTGAACAAGATTATGACATATAAAATGTCTTGGATGTATAATAATTATATAAATCCAATGCAACGAATTGCACAATAACTGAATACAAGAACTTCGAATTCCTCTGCATGTGTCATCTCGTAAGAATAAACAAATAAACTATTTAGCATGTTTTACATTCAATTGTAATGAGCAAACAAAATAGGAATCACAATTTTTGAAATAATATTCGTTTCAATGAACGTATATTCATTTTTCTCATAATTAAGCTACGAAGGAAAAAAACAATAAAACGAAGATTCATAGTTCCGTTCGATCTTGATCATCTTTCGTGTATGGGATGTAGAGCTCAGCACTACTTTGAAGTTTATTTCCATAACCACCAGTGACTAATACTCTACCATTGTTTAATACAGATATTGTGTGTCCATCACGTGCGTAATTTAAATTGTTAGTCAATGTCCATGTCTCTGTTAATGGATCGTATAACTCGGCAGTGTTCATCGGTGTAGCGTTGTTTGCTTGCCCACCAATGACTAAAACTTGTCCGTTAGCTAAAAGGCATGCTCCTGGGAACATGCGCGCTTCATTTAAATCACCAGCCGTAGTCCAATGACCCGTCGATGGATCGTACAATTCAGAGGTGTACAGCAATTCATGCTCATCATCCGATCCGCCGATAATCAAAACTTTTCCGTCGGTTAATACAGCTGCTGTATGGTAAGTTCGTGGATAATTTAAATTACCAGAAGGAGTCCACATGTTCGTTGATGGATCATATAATTCAGTAACGATAACATATTCACCAGCAGCATTACTTCCTCCAACGATCAACACTTTTCCATTATTCAATACAGAAGCTGTATGCCAGTTCCGTGCATGATTCATTGGAGTAGTAACAGTCCAACTACCCGTGGATGGATCGTACAATTCAGCAGTGTTTAGAAGTGTACCTCCTCCAACTATTCCACCAGTCACCAAAACTCTACCATCGTTTAACACGACTGCTGTATGCATTCGTCGCGGATACTTCACATCGGCACCTGCCGTCCATTTCCCTGTCGACGGATCATATAATTCAGTGCTATTCGAATCACCGCTACCAGCGACTACTAAAACTTTTCCATTGTTTAATACAGATGCTGTATGCAAGTTTCGTGCGTAAATCATGTTTCCAGTGGCTGACCATTTGCTTGTTGATGGATTGTATAATTCAGCAGTTGCAGGTCCATCGCCTTCGCCACCAACTACTAAGACCTTTCCACTGGGTAACTTCAGTGCTGTATGAAACGCTCGTACGTGTTTCATACTACCGATCTTTATCCATCCTGAAGAGAAGTTATACCGAGTTAATATAGGCTGTTCCATTATTATTTAATCTATTACTTACTATTGGTCTGTGAAGTATTACATAGTATCTGGTCAATGACAAAATAAAAAATGCTTATATAAATATTGATTTGCATACTCTGATTTGACTGCTGTATTCACTTTGCAAAGAAGAATCACTTTTGAAAGGCTCGATCGATAATGTTCTTTTACCAAATGAAAATCACCTGTGATTGTTCTCATCGTTCTTTCTTTTATTATATCTTCATTCTATTCATACAGATATACAGTAAAACTTATGAATATCCAGAATAAAAATATAATCCTTTTTTTCTCTTTGGAAAAATTGTTACTGAGTGTACTTTATAATCGATGGTTCGATGATACTCTCGTATTAGATCCGAATATGTTCTTCTACTTGAATTAGCTAATATTAGTTTAACTGTCGGCTAAATATCATCTGATTAGTATTGACTAGAAAACCACCTTGCACTTTATCTTCATTTGTAGTTACTTCGCATTGTTGCAACCGATTCATGGAATAGAAAGGAACTGTTGTGAGGTTTTTATGAGATTTATTTGAGAAATAATAACTGGTATGTCGCATAGAAATTGTGTTACATCTTTTAAATAAAGTCGCTTTAATTTCTTGGAAATTCTCTGCGCCGTAATACTCATAGATACGGGCTGTCGAAATGAAGCTGTTGTTGCTTATGTAGTTTCAACGTAATCATGTTTTTTCTGTATAGCTCGGCAGTTGATCTTGAGAAAATTGAATCTCGTACCCTTTTCTCAGGCTTTTTTATGTCAAAGAGTGAATCATCATCATCATTGGTTTCAACCTCTCTGGTGAATCTGGTAAATTCATAGTAATCGGAATCATAATAAGTTTTAAGACGTTCGTAATCATTTTCCGGAAACACTTCAAGTTGCACTCGGACACTAACTATTACACTAGTTGGATCTGTACCAGAGTCTGTTCGAATCAATTTGACACAGCCGTTGCTTACATTTTGTTGTCGCAGGGTTGTCCAAAGGATTGGGATTTCTTCATTCAAATAATGGCACGTGCGGTATCTTTCATCTACTTCCTGTTCAGTGCTAAAGTGACTTTCAATGGCCTTCATGCTAATTGGTTTAACGTCCCAAAGAAGATGCTGTAGTTCATTTTTCAGATATGATAACACACACTTTTTATAATACAGATTGGCTTCCTCCGATCTTTCACATAGCTTGGCTATATCGTAGTAAGACAGAGCAATCATGTTATTATATGTGCTTGCATTGTGTTCATTGTGTGATCGCACCTCGACTTCATTCCAGCAGAGTTTTGTCTGAGATATGCGTAGCTGGAGAAAATTTATTTGCCACAACTCACTGTCGATGTTGCACACCTCAATTTTGGGTATTGCAAGTTCCATATCACGTGATTGTAGATTATGTTCGTCCTTCAATAACATCTCGACAAATCTTTTGTGCCATTCTATAGCTAAAGGAACTTTTTCGCCTCCTTGCTTTGCGTATAATAAAGCAATATGTCGCGGTGTGATGAGGTAATTGTGTGACATAAGTTGCGAGAACATCATACCAGTCTCAAACGCTTTCTCAAACCATTCTATTGTCGAATTCAGATCGCCTTTTTCTTCATATAAACAACCGATCTTTTTATACAAGAAAGGTACATTACTGTAATGATATTGCTTCTTCTGAGTAATACATTTGCCGGATTTCGATTCAATTTCTATAAGCTTCTTCAAACAATCAATGGCAAAATCGTAGTTTTTGCGCGAAACAGCCAGCTCGACGATATGCACGTATGAATAGACAATAAACCCATATAGTGATGGTAGATATTGTATGGCATAGTCAAGAAAGCGTTTACGATTTTCTATAGTATCATTATAAGCTTTCACAATATATTCAAACACCATTTTATGCAATTTAGTGTTTGGAATTTTCTCAATCGTTCTCTGATACATGTCCCATGTTAAGTCAAACTTTTGTTGCAGTTTATAAATTGCAGCCATATGAATTGAGCTAATATTTCGAAATTCATCAAGATTAATCCATTGACGATCAATACATCTTATGTTATTATACTGCTCTGCTTTCATATAAAAATCTATTGCTTGATTGTAATTATTTCGCTTTCGGTTAACTGCTCCAAGACAATTGTATATATTCAGTAGAAGATCAGTCAATGATAGTCGTGCTCGGTCGTATAGTTGCAATGCTGTTGTCTGGTATCTCAATGCTAGGTCATACTGATCATTTTCACACGCAATCCAACCTAAGCCAACGTAACAAGCACAGATGTTTTGATCATCTCCATGAAAATCATTTAGTAAGCTGTTATAATATTTCGCGGCATGAGATTCGTGTAAATATGACCTTTGTATTAAGTAGCCAATGTTTATGAATTTTGACTCGATTGAGATTGCTGACGGAAGTTGAGGATTAGGGTATGTTAAATCTTTATAACTAATCAAGGAGAACTTGAATATATGTAAATTTTGTTGTTCGTCGTATTGGGTTGCAGTTAGGAGTAACATAGACCCGATCATAAACAAAACTTCGTCTTCGTTGGAACCAAAATAACTCAAGTGGCCAATATATGCAAATGGTTTTTGTGATAAACGGGCATCTGCTTCTATTTCAAACAAGACTGAAATATAGCCATCGCTACGTGGTGTTGCCGAACCGGTGATACCAGAAAAGATTAGCGCAGTTGACCGATTTGTAGTCGTCGACAGAAGACTATTTATAGAATATGTAAAACCAGCGAATTTTTCAAGATAAATCACTTCTTCACGTGTCATCAATTGACCGCGATAAGCTTTCAATATAGGTCTATCATCGAAATATTCTAAATATTCTTCCTGCACTGATCTCAATTGTTTGCAAATATCCAATAGATAGAAGCGAAAGTAAAGCGCTGCTTCCATATTTTTCTGTCTTAAGACTCCGTTCAGAATACGGTATAAAAAGCAATTTCGCGTGTACCACCAAATAGCTTTAGCAGGATCATAAGTCTTCTCAAATTCATCGATAATTTCTTCAGTCATGGTATTACCTTTATAATACATCTTGCACTTATCGATTAATGTTTGTCTATCGTTATTACTAATCGGTAACGAAAGTGCAATATCAATCGATCGCTGGTACCACATTTCATTGACACCAATATACGATGTTGTAGTGCCACCTGTCGAACATTCAAAGAGCATATTTGCATACTTGGTCAACGTTGCTACTTTTTCACCCAATTCGCTTAACAATTTTTGCAGCTGCACGTATACGCCACATACCTGCATACGAGGAAACATTCGGTGTCATTCAAACTGACAGAAACGTCTTATCACTTGAGAAAAATCTCCTACCTTAGGATAATCCATGTCCATTGCACATTCGTTATTCTCATCGGTCAGATACACATACACTGCATGTACGGGTTTGAGTTGTTGAACAGATATAAGAAAATGTTGTATCTGATCTCTTTTATTATAATTTGATGAAATAATAACGAATACTTTGGCTTGATGTGTACTTCTGAGATAGTCGTTGCATTCGTCTGCGTGATTAAAAAATTTAAAATAATCAATTATCGCACGCATTCTTATTTCAAGTTCATTATCGACAATGTTTTCTGTATCAAACCATATCAGTGCCAGTTGTTCCAAGTTTTTACTTCGATCGAACGCATCATCCATATTTTTCTGAAATAACGAATTGATACATATGTGTTTACACCGAATGCTGCGAAGCGACCTTCACCAAAAAATGAAGTTGTTTTTTTTTGTGTTACGTGTAACAGTGGCAAGTTATAAATTTTCATCGTTCTGAATCATTTAAACGAAACGAGAAAGAACGTTCTCATATATTAGTCATCTGTCAGCATGTGTAAGTTTCTTTAGTGCAGAATGACGATTCAAATGAATATTGAAAATTTCATTATCTTTCGTACGACTTGCATCATGATATGAATCAGTATAGTAAATCAAATCCTATTCATTCTGCGACAGTTAATCTTGCTTGTGCACCAAGTAATCGTTTCACATGTATTCATGGCTATTATTTTGAACTTTGATTTCAATTGCAATGGGTGAATTCAACGAAATCATGTCTCACTTTTATATGAAATATTTACAGAATTCATTCTCTAATTTTACTGTACGAATGAGGTATTATGAATAGTATCAATCGTATCTAGCTAAATGACCTTTTTCAATTAGATATATCTTAAAAAACATTTTAGAAATGTGAATGTGGATGTCTCTTCTCCTCCATGCTTTCAAAAATTCAAACAGTCGAACCATTCTCTTTCGAAGAACCGATTGAATAAATAATTGAAGAACGCATTTTTCTAACGTTTTCAAATCTAGTTTCAACATAAATCGTCCAATGTCTTTCAGACCAAAACGTTGAAGTAAATGAGTCAACCAACGCGACATGTTCTTCAGTGTCCAATTGACCAGCAGCTAATGTTTCGTATTTAACATTTAAAATACGCAAGCCAGATACAAAATTGACTATTAATTGTTCCCATCGATTAGCATCTATGAAATCGAAATGAGAAACGTTTTTCAGGCGTAGAACTTGAAGTTGAGAGCCCATTGATTCAATAAACGTTTGGAAGCGATCGAAATTCATATCACATATATTAATCGACAGGTGTGTCAGATGGCAAGGACCCATAGACGGATCCCAGTGTGATGGTATCAGCTCGTTGCATACCAATTGCTTGAGTTGCGGTGCCAATGATATCAGCATTCGAAAATTACATAGTAAATATTGAGGTAGTATCAAATGCTGGATTGTACTGATAGATGTATCCAAAAACAGAGTTAACAAATGACGGCGTCCCTGAACAGAGATCTTAAGCGATTTCAATGTTGGCAAATAATATATATAATGAAACAGTTCTTTGCAGTTCTTGTATATGTCATTATGAATAGTTAAAGAAAAGAGTCGAGGTAGACTTGCTAGTATACGCAAAATATGCGTTTGTGTATCTGTAGGAATATTGCAAATCATCAGTGATTCGAGACGGTTAAAGAAGATGCCAGAATAAATTGCTCGAAGAAGTAAATCACTCGGCTCGACATCGGGAATTTTAAGAGAAAGAAGTCGATCATGATTTGGATACAGGAGATAATTGAAGTAAGAATTCATAAAAACATGCGATCCTGTACGAAGTTGAATTTTTAATAACAGATTTCTATCATAGAAAAGATTATGAAAACGCGTATTGAGTTTGGCGAATATATAATACAGATCATATCCATCGAGATACTCAAATATTTCCAAGAAAGTTTCAATATTCATCATTACCTTTCTTTGTTGTAGCAAAACAAAATTATGACTACTTCGATGAAGTGTTGCGCGAAAAGAAACAGTGGTTTTTCTTCCTCTCTCATGACGTATTTTATTTTTATTCAATTCTGAGCATACATGCAAATTCGGATGAGTCAGTGTTTTTGAGAGCTTTTACCAATGTCCTTCGCATTTGTGGCTGTTTTTCTTGTTTGTATTTCATCAGCTCGGCCTCGTAAGTTGAAATTTTCAGCAGTTGATGACAGATTTCTAGTGGTTTCTAGAAACTTTTTCAACTTGTTTAGCCAGTTGTTTGATGAGATTTTCGGTTTCATGAACTCGCTGCCATCTCCAACTGCATCTTCTATCCTCTCTTTCAATTTTTCGCGATCTTCTTTTGATATCATATACTCAGCAAGTTTCCCAGCTTTCCTCAAAGGATCTTTCATGTTTTGCACTGCATTAGCTACACTTTTCCATCCACCTGGAATGACTCATCCAATCTGATCTTCTGCAGATAAAATCCATAACAAACAGAGACAATAAATTAGTACAACTGCAGCAAGTATTGCTACTGGCAAAACAATATAGAGAATGAAAACTAATATAACAAGTCATGGACGTTCGTATAACTGTAGATTAAGAACTCCAAAATGGAAACAAAGTCGATGACCACAACAGCGACATGGTCGAGTGACTCGATAGACTCCAACTGTTTTTTCCATTACACGATGGATGCCTGTTGCCACACCGAGACGTTGTTGAAATACAAAGAGGAGAAAACGTATGAAAACTTGGGCGACGGCTCCTAAGGCATCTGGTAGACCTGTACAAGCACCGATCTATGTCATGATGTCCGATATTGTTACGTCACGTCCAATCCAACGAAAACATGTAGCTGATTTAAAATACGATAAACTGATCGACTTGTCAGGAGTACATTGAAAATAAGTGTGATTCGAGCCATAAAAACAGTCCATAATACCATAAGTTCGACAGGGTCCATCATCATAAACTGTTACATTAGCTAAGAAACATGCTTGAAACCCAACAAGAGCAACTGAAGCTATAACTGTTGTAGTCAGAATCGTGATTAAGACGACATTTGACTTTGTATCTGAAGTTAGATACTTCCCGTAAACATATAAGATCACGCGTTCGTTTTCGAGATGTCCGATATGTGTTTTTGGAACAACTGGAGTATCCGTCTCTTCGTTTTTGTCATCCGAAGGTGACTCACTTGGTGTTTTCTCCGTTGAATTTTCTTCATTGGACTCGTCTTGCTTTATATCACTAGTAGAAAGAGGTTTTTCAGTTATATTAGTATAGATTGACGATGGTAAATCAACGATTGGTGTAGTAGTAACATTTTTCAATGTACTCGGATTTTTTACCACGACGCTTCCACAGAAATTACCTAATTTCTTGACGAGAGAGCAACATTTTCTCTGGCGAACATTTAAACCGTACATATCCTTATTTCTCGTAATAATTTCATGATGCACATCGATAACATAACGTTTTGTATTAAAAAGTTTCTCGACGACAAGAGAAAAACCATGAGAAAGGTAACTAGCACAAAAATCAAGACACCAACAGAAGTATTACATATAATCCAGTCCCAAAACTCCCATGCCATTTTTCTACAGCTTAATAACAATCATTGAAGGACAGTGAATGCTTGAAACGAAGAGAGATTACAATAGAACTATATTAATTTTTTCACAGAATGAAACAAATCAAACAATGTTGACCGGGAATAAATCCATAAAACAACAAGATCACTATTCACTATGTAAACGTATGTGTGACGGTTACTATCGTACACAATCGAAATAGCTGTTGTGATCAGAAACTAAACTTGCTGACTTTTTCTGTCGTGGCAACAGAACATTAAAAATTCTGTTTTTACTCACAGTACAGAGCTTTTTCCCCTATAGTGGACGGTTTGATTTTCGTCTTGCGCCAGTCGTGCTGTACATATACGTTGAAACAATCACAATCTTACATTATTCAGATGAAATTAAAGTATAAGCATGGGAAACAAGAAATCTCTGCAAAAAATTTGAATTGTTTTCATATTTGTTCTCTTGGTAACTGTTCAGCAATGTTTCTTGTTTCTAGAACTTCAACGATTGCAACGTCGCACTAAGTTCTCAGAAAACAGTATGTATTCGACATTGTTCGTAGGTTGATTAATACTTTCTTTCTTATTCCATTAGAAATTCGACAATGGCATACCGTAAATGACATAATATCCTTCAAGAAGTAGTTTTTAGAATTTTCTTCAGGGTTTTTTCCACGACTGAGAAGGCGAAGAACTTACAAGAGAAAAATTCATTTCAATATTCAAGAAATTCTACATACCAAATATAATAAAAGTGCAAGCTTTTTGCGAGTAAAATCATCTATACGACAACGGAAGATGTATCTTTGCTTGTTAAAGTTATGTATTCGGAGCTTTCGATAAGGATTCCTAGTAGTAATCGACTTTTCCAATCAACGCGACACAGAAAGTCGATTGAATTTGATTTTTGACATGTAAGTCCAATTTGAATTTATTTGATTTTCTTTTCTTCAAATTGTGCACTTTCCCAAGATGAAATGCCTCATAGATGCTGGCGAAATCGATGCGAATGAATTGGAGAAAGTAACACCGCACATATGTCAAGAAAAAGGGAAGTGATCAAATGAGTATGAAGTGCGGACATGATAAAAAGGAGAAAAACACATCAATGTATTCATTAATGAGTAATAACTGAAAAAAAAACTGAAATACGTAAACATAAGCAGAAAAGGCGATGGGCGTACGTGTTTAACATGGTCTGTACATCGTGTTGTAATTTGGTAATTTCCTTTTTTTCTCCGTTTCGAGCTCAATAGAAGCGCATAAGTATATTAAAATGTGATCAATATTCACAATAAAATATCATATTTTTTCGTCTAATCGAAAGGTGAGGCTACCTATTTATTTACGGTATATACACTGTGCTTTTTTCATCTTATTCTCATCGAATGTGTACTGCAGACAGATCGATGAGGCTCCTGTCAAGGTATCCATGGTTATGTTTTTACTTTCTCTTGCTTCGACAGAATGTCCATGGACTTTGGCCCTCTTCAAACTCTTCGGCAGTTCAACTGTTAGGTATTGCACAAAGGGAACTCAATATAAAAAATACTAGTTCATCATCGTTTTATCAAACTCAAGCACTGTTTTACTCAGCGATGTTACTCGCTCAGCAATACAATATCACTGTCGGAGGAGAATATCTCGGTTGGAAATTACAGCAATGTCCAAGGTACCATACTTTAGGAATTCCTACAGTTCCTAAAAAATACAGCAAAAACTAATCAATTCCTTACAGAACTGGGAACTCACCCTCATTTCCTACACAGTTCCCTATCAATTCCATCCTCCATTCCTAACACATTACTTTATTTCTCACACACCACCTCAATACCTATCCACAGTCACTACTACGATTCCCAAGTTCCTAACCAAGGAACTGATGCCACGACAATACCTACAAAAGGAATTGAGGAAATCAGTAGAACTGACCGACATTTCCCTAACAGNGCCGGATATGGATTTAACGGTGGTATCATTATCCAGGATTATCAGGATCCGGAAAGTGTAGATGCTCTGGTACTGGGTAATAGCATCGTTAACATGTCGAATGTTGCAATTGAGAATGCTGATGAGTCTTCTACTACAGCGGCCCGCAATGCAGCAGCATTAAACGGCAGGTTGTATCCGAATCCGTTCAATGATTTTGTAAACATCGATTTTAATAATACGTCTGCCAATAATAATATCAGCGTGGAGGTTTATGATCTGTCTGGAAGACTTGGTTACCGCAAAACATTCGGTAAGTTATCAGCGGGTAGCAATACCCTCAGGATCGGCAGCGCCGATGCGGGTATGAGAACAGGAGTTTATATTATAACGCTAAGCGTAAACGGTAAGCCAATACAGGCTAATAAAGTTATCAGAACCGGAAAATAGGTTAGGGCCGGGTAAGTAGCATTGATAAGCGGGGTCCCCATCGGTGACCCCGCTTTAACAGAAGCGAGTGTCACTTCGGGTTCTCTCGAAGGCGATTCCACGATTTAAACCCAAAATGTATATCTTCCCAAAAAATTGTAGCAAGTGAAACTGAAGGATCTATTTTACAATCCGAGCATGAGTTTAGGCAAGAGCCGGTATGCATGGATCGATTACGCAAAAGGTTTATGTATTATACTGGTAACCTTCAGGCATGTGCAGGAGGGCCTTCATCCTGCAGGAACCGATTACCCCTATCCTGCACTTAAATTTGCTGATGTTTTTTTCTTCAGCTTTCGTATGCCTTTGTTCTTTATAGTATCGGGTATATTTCTTGGTGGTACTCTCCGTAAAAAAAGTGTAAATGATTATATCACCGGCAGGTTCAGGACACTGGTATGGCCCCTTTTATTATGGGGATGCATACAGGTAACCCTCCAACTGGTATTTAAAAACTATGTAAACGTTGACAGGCAGCCAATAGATTATCTCAAACTGATTATCGAACCAAGAGCAATCGAACAATTCTGGTACCTGCATACCCTCTTCCTCACAGGAAGTTTTTATGCACTGATGAAGGTTAAGGCAAAGTTCACCATGCTTCACCAGATATTGCTTGGCATACTACTATATACAATAACAGGTATTTTCAGATATTATAAAACACATGATATTCTGCGTCATGGAATGAATGAATCATCACAAGGAAGTTGTCAAATAATTTCCAACAACAACAGGATTCTCAGAAGTATAAAAGCACCGAGCGAAATCGTAAAAGAAAAGAAAAAGTTTGAAATTAGTGATGGCATTGTTTCAACGAAATCAAATCGGTTTTAAAGAAGAGCAACATGGTACTGTAACACCAGCCAATGATCTTGCTCGACTGATGTATTATTTTAATTGTGTATGCTATGTCATTCAATACAATGATTCTGATGTTAGTCGACTTCGAAATTGCCATAATTGGGCATCTTTATCGGCTGCAGAGATTCGTCTTCTTCTTGCTCTCTGCTCGACGCTTTCGCCTGATGTGTTTAACAACAAGGTGTTCTTTCAGTCGGATGCTTTATGTGGCAGCAACCAAAACAAATTCTTTGAAATAAGTCAAGTTAGTAATCAGTTATTAGCTGTCGATTCCATTATCATCGCTGGTCGACGATATCGAGTAAATAAGATTATGACATATAGAATGTCTTGGATGTATAATAATTATATAAATCCAATGCAACGAATTGCACAACAACTAAATACAAGAACTTCGAATTCCTCTGCATGTGTGATCTCGTGAGAATGAACAGATAAACTGTTTTGTATATTTTGCATCCTCTTGTAATGATCGAACAAAATAAGAATCATAATAATTGAAATACCATTCATTTCAATAAACATATATTGATCTTTCTCATAATTAAGCTACGAAGGAAAAAAACAATAAAACGAAGATTCATAGTTCCGTTCGATCTTGATCATCTTTCGTGTGTGGGATGTAGAGCTCAGCACTACTTTGCAGTTTATTTCCATAACCACCAGTGACTAATACTCTACCGTTATTTAATACAGATATTGTGTGTCCATCACGTGCGTGATTTAACTTGCTAGTCAATGTCCATGTACCTGTCGATGGATCGTATAATTCGGCAGTGTTCATCGGTGTAGCGTTGTTTGCCTGCCCACCAATGACCAGAACTTGTCCGTTAGCTAAAAGACATGCTCCTGGGAACATGCGTGCTTCATTTAAATCACCAGTCGTAGTCCAATGACCCGTCGATGGATCATACAATTCAGAGGTATGCAGCAATCCATGCTCATCGTCTGATCCGCCGATAATCAAAACTTTTCCATCGGTTAATACAACTGCTGTGTGGTAAGTTCGTGGATAATTTAAGTTGTCAGCAGGAGTCCACGTGTTTGATGATGGATCATATAATTCAGTAATGACAACATATTCACCAGCAGCATTACTTCCTCCAACGATCAACACCTTTCCGTCATTCAATACGGAAGCTGTATGCCAGTTCCGTGCTTGATTCATTGGACTAGTAACAGTCCATCTACCCGTGGATGGATCGTACAATTCAGCAGTGTTTAGAAGTGTACCTCCTCCAACTATTCCACCAGTCACCAAAACTCTACCATCGTTTAACACGACTGCTGTATGCATTCGTCGAGGATATTTCACACCGGCACCTGCGGTCCATTTCCCCGTCGACGGATCGTATAATTCAGTGCTATTCGAATCACCACTACCAGCGACTACTAAAACTTTTCCATTGTTTAACACAGATGCTGTATGCAAATTTCGTGCGTAAATCATGTTTCCAGTGGCTGACCATTTGCCTGTTGATGGATTGTATAATTCAGCAGCTGCAGGTCCATCGCCTTCGCCACCAACTACTAAGATCTTTCCATTGGGCAACTTCAGTGCTGTATGAAACGCTCGTACATGTTTCATACTACCGATATTTATCCATCCTAAAAAGAAGTTATACCCAATTAGTAGAAACTGTTCATTATCATTTGATTTATTAGTTACTATTGGTCTGTGAAGTATTACATAGTATTTGTTCGATGACAATATAAAAAATACTTATATAAATATTGATTTGCATACTCTGATTTGACTGCTGTATTCACTTTGCAAAGAAGAATCACTTTTGAAAGGGTCGATCGATAATGTTCTTTTACCAAATGAAAATCACCTGTGATTGTTCTCATCGTTCTTTCTTTTATTATATCTTCATTCTATTCATACAGATATACGGTAAAACTTATGAATATCCAGAATAAAAATGTAATCCTTTTTTTCTCTTTGGAAAAATTGTTACTGAGTGTACTTTATAACCGATGATTCGATGATACTCTCGTATTAGATCCGAATATGTTCTTCTACTTGAATTAGCTGATATTAGTTTAACTCTCGGCTAAATATCATCTGATTAATATTGACTAGAAAACCACCTTGCACTTTATCTTCATTTGTAGTTACTTCGCATCGTTGCAGCCGATTCGTGGAATAGAAAGGAACAGTGGTGGGGTTTTTAGGAGATTTATTTGAGAACTAATAACTGGTATGCCGCATAGAAATTGTGTTAAATATTTTAAATAAAGTCGTTTTAATTTCTTAGAAATTCTCTGCGGCGTAATACTCATAGATACGGGTTGTCGAAACGAAGCTGTTGTTGCTTATGTAGTTTCAACGTAATCATGTTTTTTCTGTATAGCTCAGCAGTTGATCTTGAGAAAATTGAATCTCGTACCCTTTGCTCAGGCTTTTTTATGTCGAAGAGTGAATCATCATCATCATTGGTTTCAACCTCTCGGAAGAATCCATTCATACTATGGTAGTCAGAGTCATAATAATTTTTCAGACGTTCGTAATCATTTTCTGGAAACACTTCAAGTTGCACTCGGACACTAACTATTACACTAGTCGGATCCGTGCCAGAATCTGTTCGAATCAATTTGATACAACCGTTGCTTACATTTTGTTGTCGTAAGGTTGTCCAAAGGATTGGTATTTCTTCATTCAAATAATGGCACGTGCGGTATCTTTCATCTACTTCCTGTTCAGTACTAAAATGACTTTCAATAGCCTTTATGCTAATTGGTTTAACGTCCCGAAGAAGATGCTGTAGTTCATTCTTCAGATATGATAAGACACACTTTTTATAATACAGATTGGCTTCCTCCGATCTTTCACATAGCTTGGCTATATCATAGTAAGACAAAGCAATCATGTTATTATATGTGCTTGCATCGTCTTCATGGTGTGATCGCACTTCGACTTCATTCCAGCAGAGTTTCGTCTCAGATATGCGTAGCTGGAGAAAATTTATTTGCCACAATTCACTGTCGATATCACACACTTCGATTTGGGGTAGTGCAAGTTCCATAGCACATGATTGAAGATTATGTTTGTCCTTCAATAACATCTCGATGAATCTTTTCTGCCATTCTATAGCTAAAGTAACTTTTTCGCCTCCTTGCTTTGCGTATAATAAAGCGATATGTCGCGGTGTGATGAGGTAATTGTGTGAAATAAGTTGCGAGAACATCATACCAGTCTCAAACGCTTTCTCAAACCATTCTATTGTCGAATTCAGATCGCCTTTTTCTTCATATAAACAACCGATCTTTTTATACAAGAAAGGTACGTTAGTGTAATGATATTGCTTCTTATGTGTAGCACTTTTGCCGGATTTCGATTCAATTTCTAGAAGCTTCTTCAAACAATCAATGGCAAAATCGTAGTCTTTACGCGAAACAGCCAGCTCGACGATATGCACGTATGAATAGACAATAAATTCATATAATGATGGTAGATATTGTATGGTATAGTCAAGAAAGCGTTTTCGATTTTCTATAGAATCATTATAAGCTTTCACAATATATTCAAACACCATTTTATGCAATTTAGCGTTCGGAATTTTCTCAATCGTTTTCAGATACATGTTCCATGTTAAGTCAAATCTTTGTTGTAGCTTATAAATCGCCGCCATATGAATTGAACTAACATTTCGAAATTCATCAAGATTGATCCATTGACGATCAATACATTGTACGTTATTGTATTGCTCTGCTTTAATGTAAAAATCCATTGCCTGTTCGTAATTATTCTCTTTCCGATTAATTGCTCCAAGACAATTGTATATATTCAGTAGAAGATCAGTCGACGACAGTCGCGCTTGGTCGTATAGTTGCAATGCTGTTGTTTGATATTTCAAAGCTAGGTCATACTTATCATTTTCACATGCAATCCAACCCAAGCCAATGTAACAAGCACAGGTGTTTTGACTATCTCCAAGGAAATCATTTAGTAAGCTGTTATAGTATTTCGCAGCATGAGATTCGTGTAAATATGATCTTTGTATTAAATAGCCAATGTTTATGAATTTTGACTCGATTGAGATTGCTGATGGAAGTTGAGGATTAGGGTATGTTAAATCTTTATAACTAATCAAGGAGAATTTGAATATATGTAAATTTTGTTGTTCGTCGTATTGGGTTGCCGTTAAGAGTAACATGGCGCCTATCATAAACAAAACTTCGTCTTCGTTGGAACCAAAATAGCTCAAGTGACCAATATATGCAAATGGTTTTTGTAATAAACGGGTATCGGCTTCTATTTCAAACAAGACTGAAATATAGCCATCGCTACGTGGTGTTGCCGAGCCGGTGATACCAGAAAATATTAGCGCAGTTGACCGATTAGTAGTCGTCGACAGAAGACTATTTATAGAATATGTAAAACCGGCGAATTTTTCAAGATAAATCACTTCTTCACGTGTCATCAATTGACCGCGATAAGTTTTCAATAGAGGCCTATCATCGAAATATTCTAAGTATTCCTCCTGCACTGATTTTAATTGTTTGCAAATATCCAATAGATAGAAGCGAAAGTAAAGTGCTGCTTCCATATTTTTCTGTCTTAAGACTCCGTTCAGAATACGGTATAAAAAGCAATTTCGCGTGTACCACCAAATAGCTTTGTCTGGATCATAAGTCTTCTCAAATTCGTCGATAATTTCTTCAGTCATGGTATTACCTTTATAATACATTCTGCACTTATCGATTAATGTTTGTCGATCGTTATTACTAATTGGTAGTGAAAGTGCAATATCAATTGACCGTTGGTACCACATTTCATTGATACCAATATAAGATGTTGTAGTGCCGCCTGTCGAGCATTCAAAGAGCATATTTGCATACTTGGTCAACGTTGCTACTTTTTCACCCAATTCGCTTACCAATTTTTGCAGCTCCATGTATACGCCACATACCTGCACACAAGGAAACATTCGACGTCATCGAGATTGACAGAACAGTCGCATCACTTGAGAAAAATGTCTTACCTTAGGGTAATCCATGTCCATTTCACGTTCGTTATTCTCATCGGTTAGATACACATACACTGCATGTACGTGTTTGAATTGATGAACAGTTGTAAGAAAATGTCGTATCTGATCTATTTTGTTATAATTTGATGAAATAATAATGAATAATTTGGCTTGATGGGTACTTCTGAGATAGTCGTAGCATTCGTCTGCGTGATTAAAAAATTTAAAATAATCAATTATTGCACGCATTCTTATTTCAAGTTCATTATCGACAATGTTTTCTGTGTCGAACCATACCAGTGCCAGTTGTTCCAAGTTTTTACTTCGATCGAACGCATCATCCATATTTTTCTGAAATAACGAATTGATACATATGTGTTTACACGGAATGCTGTGAAGCGAGCGACCTTCACCTAAAAATGAAGTTGTTTTTTTTGTGTTACGTGTAACAGTGGCAAGTTATAAAATTTCATCTTTCTGAATCATTTCAACGAATCGAGAAAGAACGTTCTCATATATTAGTCATCTGTCAGCGTGTGTAAGTTTCTTTAGTGCAGAATGACAATTCAAGTGAATATTGAAAATTGTATTCTCTTTCGTAAGACTTGCATCATGATATGAGTCAGTATACTAAATCAAATCTTATTCATTCCGCGACAGTTAATCTTGCTTGTGCACCAAGTAATCGTTTCACATGTATTCATGGGTGTTATTTTGAACTTTGATTTCGATCGCCATCGGTGAATTCAATAAAAGCATGTCTCACTTTTATATGAAATATTTACAGAATTCATTCTCCAACTTTACTGTACAAATGAGGTGTTATGAATAGTATCAATGAATAGTAGAAATGTGAACGTGGATGTCTCCTCTCTTCCACGCCTTCGAAAATTCAAACAGTCGAACCATTCTCTTTCGTAGGACCGATCGAATAAATAATGGAAGAACGCATTTTTCTAACATTTTCACATCTAGTTTCAACATAAATCGTCCAATGTCTTTCAGACCAAAACGTTGAAGTATACGTTGAAACAATCACAATCTTACATTATTCAGATGAAATTAAAGCATAAGCATGGAAAACAAGAAATCTCTGCAAAAGATTTGAATTGTTTCATGTTTGTTCTCTTGGTAACTGTTCAGCGATGTTTCTTGTTTCTAGAACTTCAACAATTGCAATGTCGCACTAAGTTCTCAGAAAACAGTATGTATTCGACATTGTTCGTAGGTTGATTAACACTTTCTTTCTTATTCCGTTAGAAATTCGACAATGGCATATCGTAAATGACATAATATTCTTCAGTAAGTAGTTTTTAGAATTCTCTTCAGGGCTTTTTCCATGACTGCGAAGGCGAGGAACTTACAAGAGAAAAATTCATTTCAATATCCAAGAAATCCTACACACCAAATATAATAAAAGTGCAAGCTTTTTGCGAGTAAAATCATCTATACGACAACGGAAGATGTATCTTTGCTTGCTAAAGTTGTGTATTCGGAACTTTCGATAAGGATTCCTACTAGTAATCGACTTTTCCAATCAACACGACGCAGAAAGTCGATTGAATTTGATTTTTGACATGTAAGTTCAATTTGAATTTATTTGATTTTCTTTTCTTCAAATTGTGCAGTTTCCCAAGATGAATTGCCTCATAGATACAGACGAAGCCGATGAAAATAAATTGGAGAAAGTAACACCACACATATGTCAAGAAAAAGGGAAGTGATCGAATCAGTTTAAAGTACGAACATGATAAAAAAGAATGAAAGTCATCAGTGCGTGTATTACTGAGTAATAGGTGGAAAAATCTGAAATAAACATAAGCAGAAAAGTCGATGAGGAGTACATATTAGATATGGCTTGCACACCGTGTTATACGTTGGAAATTTCCTTTTTTTCTCCGTTTCGAGCTCAATAGAAGCGCATATGTATAAAATGTGATCAATATTCACAGCAAAATTTCATATTTTTTCGTCCAACTAAAAGGTGAGGCTACCTGTTTATTTACAGTATATACACTGTACTTTTTTCATCTCACTCTCGTCGAGTGTGTACTACAGACAGATCGATGAGGCGCCTATCAAGGTATCCATGGTTATGTTTTTACTTCCTCTTGTTCGGACAGAATGTCCGTGGACTTTGGCCCTCTTCAAACTCTTCGGCAGTTCAACTGCTAGGTATTGCAGAAAGGGAACTCAATATAGAAAATTCTAGTTCATCATCGTTTTATCAAACTCGTGCACTGTTTTACTCGGCGATGTTACTCGCTCAGCAATACAATATCACTGTTGGAGGAGAATATCTCGGTTGGAACTTAATAGAAACAACTGGCGATCCCATCATTGCTCTTCGGGCTACATGTGAAACAATATCGACTTCCAACACTGTTGGCATTGTTGGACCAGCTGTCTCAAGAGAAGCTCATGTTATTGCACCTTTTGGTGCAAGTATCAATATTCCAACAATATCCTATAGTGCAACTAATCCTGAACTATCTGACCGAATAGCTAATCCAACTTTTTACCGCACAGTTCCATCGGACAATGATGCAGCAGTGACTATCGCTAATCTTTTTCTTGAATTCAATTGGACAATGTGTCTAATTATTTATCAAAATGATGAATTTGGAACCGGAGGTGCTAAAGCAATTTCCGACGCATTTGTCGATAGTAACGTAACCGTCACAGAAACGATGATCTTTGATTTAAATACGTTGTCTATTCGCGGTGACTTAAAAAGTACATTAACCGGCAGTTTAGCCAGAATTGTAATTGTATGGGCTGATACAAGTTACGCAACGCTAATCCTGCAAAGTGCTCTCAAAGCAGATGTAGTGGGTCCACTTTTTACATGGATATTAGGCTCTGATGTTCCGCTGACAGCTTTTGACGAAATTTGGTACGATCGTCTAATCGGAGTGCTTACAATTGGCCCCGTCGTCGGAAATTTAGCTAATGCACCTGTCAACCAAACATTGTTGAATGATGCACTTGGCATTTGGCAGAAGTATGAACCTGAATCATTTCCTGGTACAGCGAATGTCGATTATTATGCGTTGTTTGCATTCGATGCAACATGGACGTTGATTCAATCATTTGCACAATTGTGTCCCAATAGCACTGTATCGTCATGCATTACATTTACGAATACGTCGTTTTGTTTCGATCGACGTGTTCTGAATATCCATTCGATATTTGATATCATCAACACAAATACTTTTCTGGGTGTTACAGGCCCTGTTCAATTTTCGACAAACAAGACGGACCGGGTCAATGGCACCTATTATATTGTGAAAAATGTGCAACGTGTTTCAAGTACTCTAAAGTATGTTCCAGTTCTAATATCCACAAACTCAGCTGCATGGACGCCGCAAGCACAAGCGAATGTAATCATTTGGCCTGGTCACTCACTAGCTGTACCGACAGGCTATGCATCGCTTCAAGGTGTCACGTTACATATTGCCATTATACTCACAGCGCCATTTACTATGATGAAAGAATACGTAGATCAAAATGGAATAATACAGAGGAGACTCACTGGATATATTCCAGATTTGATTGACCACTTGCAACAAAAAATGGGATTCGTTCCAAATATTACAGTGCTGCCAGAAAACATCACATATAATAGTTTACCCGATCTAGTCGCAAGTAATGTTTATGATCTAGTGGTGGGCGATGTCACAATTATGGCGTCGCGAAGAACAAAAGCGGCCTTTTCTGATTCAATCTTCGATAATTCATTACGTATTATGACTCGACAAAAGACCGAAGAAGAAGTTCATCGATTTGGTTTCCTTCGTACATTTGAACTACGCTTATGGATGGTTATTCTCGGTTGTCTTGCAGGGTCTGCTTGTCTATTTTTCTTATACGAAGGACGTGTGCATACAGATTTAAGAAATAGATCAATTCTCTCTCGTATAGGAATGAGTATTTGGCTTGCTTTTGGAACACTTATTGGATATGGCGCTGATTTTCATACAAGTTCAGCTCCTGGACGAGTTTTAACCATTGGGATATACATTACAAGTCTGGTCCTGATCAGTGCATACCAAGCATATCTCACCGCGAGTATAACTGTTTCCATAGCGCAAAGTTCTTTCTCTGGCATTGATGATATTAAAAATGGAAAAGTCGCATACAATAGAATAGGTATTATCAGTGGCTCATCCATTGAAGATTACTTCCTTCGAGAAATATCTGATGGCAGTCGTACTTATTACGTACTAAGAGACAAACAGGATATGCTCGATAAATTATTAAGTGGAATAATAGATGTCTCAATCATGGATACGGGTTTTGCCGAATTCGTTACAAATTCTATGTATTGTAATTTGACCATTATTGGTGCGGGTTTTGATCAAAGTGAATTCGGGATCATTTATCCCACGAAATGGCTGTATGAACAAGCTTTAGACGTGACGATATTATCACTGCGTGAATCAGGAGTGTTCGACGATCTGAAAAGTAAATGGTTTCAAACAAATAATTGTACAAGTTCGTCAACGGACACACCTATGAAGTTAACACTTGGAGCGCTAGCTGGCTTATTCATTGTCTTTGCAGTAGTTAGCGCACTTTCAATGCTGATGTTTCTATGGGTGAAACGCCGAGCACTACTTAGATATGTACGGCGACGTCGATCAAGAAATGCCATTGCTCTCAATCCTGCATATCGTCCATATGCTCAGCATCTACCCTATATTGCTGGATATCACCAGGTTTGAAAACAGAAGTAACTGACTTTCTGAAGATAGTGTTAAACTGTTCATTGTATGAATTTATTAATAAATGATCATTCTGCAATTCTATTATTTCCTACTTTAAATATTTGTAATTGCAACGATGAGGTAATACGTATATTGAGAAAAGCACGATATGTTTTAAGTATTTCCTGTATGTTATGAAATTTCGCTCGTTAGCGTGCGAGGGAAAAAGAATATTGGTGGAGGCAGTGGGAATCGAACTCACGACCTATCGCACGCACTTCGATCGCTCTACCACTGAGCTACACCCCCGATTCGAATACTCGTACAGTACTAAAACAGCATACGGTATGAACTAAAAGAATAGAAAAGGTTAACAGATTGAGATATTAAATTACGGGTGTGAATGCTGTGTGTGATACAGGCATTCAAATCTGCACTGACAAGAATAAATTTGAGTCAATACTGTTTTTTCTAGTTTTACTTCGTGCGTAATTTCATAATGTAAGTAAGTATATATAAAGTATTTGTCTTAAAAATGGATATGATTTAATCGGATAGGTGACTATCTCGATAAGAATTTATTGAAAAATAAAGAATACTCGATGCTGTTGAGGTCTTTTAGTAAATGAATAGATTTGTGTGAGTATACATACATTTGATAAACGAGATATGTATGAATACAACATACTTAACGTACGGTTTGATTCACATAATATCTACTCTTCGATAAGTGTTCCCAGCCCTGTAGAAATGAAGGTAACAGTCAGTGTTCTCAATTATTCAACAAGCAATGACTATTCGTACGACACTTGCTACAATGTTATTCGCTGTTCTTCTCGCCATGATCAAGTGATTCAATGTAAACATCATACTTGTTGTCTTTCATCTCAGAAAACGCCCATGGACAAAAATATCCTGAAGCAGAAGGGGCATGTGCAGGTCTGGGTGGTGGAGATCTTTGCAATGATCGCTGCAAAGCATGTGGCTATAAGAAAGGAGAATGCGGAGGCATGGTGTGGCAAACTTGCCAATGTTTTCGTACTCGCGCTGAATTACTTGCAGCACGTGCCCGTGAGGAACTTCTTCGTAGGATGGCAGAAGAAAACGATTCTATCTGTCCAAATGGACACCTCACTGGTCGATGTCTTGCCGATCGTTCCAAATGCTTGAAACTGATCGAATTCTTTTTTCGTGAACTGAATGTTTATTATTCTAATTTGATAAAATAACAGGTGAAAAATGAAGAGATTTTCAGCTACAATTTATATGACCTAATAAAGAAGATAATCTAATTAACTGCCACATGGGTAAGCTTTGCCACTTTGAGCATTCATTACTCGTAGTTATCCTATATGATCACGCGCTTTGCTGATTTACATATGCGCAGAGAAAAAGCAATTGTTGTTTTAGCAGATCCATGTTATTCTGAACAGTTCTCGTAGTGAGATGATTTTCATGCAGTGATACCTTGAAGATATTCAGAGCAGGCTATAAATATATCAGTGTCTTCGAACAATCATTGGTATTGTAACAAGTATCCCATGATGGATGACTAAGAGAAATAGGTTTTTCCTTGATAAGTATAACGGAAAAATAAGTGTTGTACAGAGCGGAGAAGAAAAATGTGACTGACTACATTATTTTTCTCACAAGCTGCTTTGTGACTCTACGTTATATTTGTCTGCTATCGACACTCAAAACATTGAAAGATTCACTTGCATGAAAATTAATGTTTGGAAACTATTTTTTCCGTCTATGGGCATTTTTTACGTGGAAAAAGTGTATAGCATGAGCCAATAAAGATAAGAGACGCTTTTTATTATCGACAGACTTTCTGCATATGTACACATACTCTATACTGGTCATAATCAGAACGAATAGCGATGCTAGCCAAGCTTTTAGAAGTATGACTCGTAAAAATGATCACGATAATCTCTTCGCTTAATTCATCACAGAATACACAAAAGAAAATATTGCAGATTCGAAGATCAACTCATTCTGCATAGATGTTTCGTGTATATACTCTGTCCTTTTATTGAAATAAGAAGAAAAAAAACATGTATTTTTCTTCTGTCTTCAGAAAGATATCTGTTATCAACGGTAGTTACATTTTCTTCGACTGATAATCACTCATACTGCGAAAAGATCTCCAAAGAAACGTATGACATGGGATG